GGAGAGCGAACCCAAGGCACGGTTGCCACCTGTGGACGGCGGTGGGACACAGGGACTGTTTCAGACACCTGTATTACACCCAGTACAGCGTGTTTTCTTAAGCGTCAACATCAGTTTTTCTGAACGGCTGACAATAGAATTCAATTCACGCAAATAAACCTGCATCACAGTAAAGGGGCCAGCAGTGTATTACTAAGGACCCTAACTGAGAGGCATACAATACCCTTACAAATAGCACTTATTCAGGAACCATGGATAAATGGGGACCAGATTAAGGGGCTAAATCTAAGGGATTTTAAACTGTTTCATAAACAAGCAGATAAACCAAGAACTTGCATTTTGGTTAATAATAAAGTTAAAGCCAGCCTGATACTNCGGTTAATAATAAAGTTACAGCCAGCCTGATACTTAATCTATTAAGTGCAGACTTGACTATTATTAGAGTAACACTAAATGATGGTAAAAACATTATAGTAGCTTCAGGATACTTACCATATGAGGTCACAGACCCAGGTAGGGACCTAACTATGCTCTTTAATTATTGCAAAAATGAAAAATTAGAACTAATCCTAGGTATGGATGCTAATGCACACCACACTATTTGGGGGAGCAGTAACATCAACCAAAGAGGAGAGGTTATAATGGATCTATTGCTGACTACAGACCTAAGTATACTGAACAGAGGTAGTGAACCTACTTTTGTTATCAGGAACAGGCAGGAGGTCATTGATCTGACAGTTTGTTCAAAAGGGTTACTTCAAAAGATAAAAGGGTGGAAAGTGTCCTACGAACCTTCTCTTTCTGATCATAGGCACTTACGATTCACTTTGGAAATTAACAAAGTTGAGACGGAGTACTATAGGAACCCGAAAAGAACAAACTGGGACAAATACAGGGCAGATCTCTCTCGTGACCTGATTAACCTACAGTTTAGATTGGGGTCGAGACAGAGTACTGAAAGGGCNATCGAGACAGAGTACTGAAAAGGCTGTAAATATGCTACAGGACTCCATTGTCTCAGCTTACAAAGAAAACTGTCCTTTAATAGAAAGAAAAGGTACAGGGCAGGGTGTAGCTTGGTGGAATGCTAACCTGTCTAAATTAAGAAAGAGTTCACGTAAGCTCTTAAATAAAGCAATGAAATCAGGTTTGGAACAACACTGGGAATCCTATAAGGACGCCCAAAGGAACTACAAATCTGCATTGAAAAAGTCCAAAAGAGAAAGCTGGAAGAAGTTCTGTGGGGATATACAACAACTCCCTATAGCAACTAGACTTCTGCGATCACTAAGGAATGGACCAAACAAAACTGTCGAGGCAATACTACTGCCAGACGGAATGTTCACCAATAATGATAATGAAACATTATCACATTTGATGAACACACATTTTCCTGACTCTACAATTAACAACAGAGAACAGGAACATGATGCACAGGACAAACGTGTGACCTGTGCTGATTGGAGACTAACCAGGAAAGTGATAACCCCAAGTGGAATAAGATGGGCAATAAAAGCCTTTGGCAGTTTTAAAGCTGCAGGCTGTGACGAAATTTTCCCTGCACTTCTGCAAGAAGGGTTAGAGATAATCGTCCCCCATCTCTGCAAAATATTTAGGGCATGCCTTGCTTATGGTTATCAACCAGAAAGCTGGCGTAAGGTTAGGGTAGTGTTTATACCTAAACCTAACCGCACTAACTATTATGAAGCAAAATCCTACAGACCAATAAGTCTTACTTCTTTTCTTCTTAAGACTATGGAGAAACTTATTGATAGGTACATCAAGGAGGGGCCTCTTAAGGAGAACCCTTTACATGAAAACCAACATGCGTATCAAACGGGGAAATCTACTGATACAGCTCTACACTGCTTAACTACTAAGCTAGGGAAAGCTGTAGAGAATAAAATGTATGCAGTAGGTATATTCCTGGACATCGAAGGGGCTTTTGACAATACTCCCTTCGATGCTATGTGTGAATTTGCACAACAGCATGGAATAGAACCACTTATTATTAAGTGGATAGAATCCATGCTTAAGGAACGCTCCATTTTGGGACAGCTCAATGAGACCAAAGTAATCAAGAGTGTCAAACAGGGATGCCCACAAGGCGGGGTTCTATCCCCCTTGCTATGGTGTCTAGTATTGGACTCGCTTATTAGAGAGTTAAACAAATATTGTTATACACAAGCCTATGCGGATGACTTGGTTATAACAGTGGTGGGTAAATTCCCAGACACTATTATTGACTTAGCACAACAGAGACTTAACACTATACAGATATGGTGTAGTAAGTACGGTCTATCTGTTAATCCAAATAAAGCAGAGGTTGTTATGTTCACTAGAAAGAGAATAGGACTAGACAACCTGGACACTCTTACTCTGAATGGACAAGAAATTAGCTTAAAATCAGAAGTAAAATACTTAGGTATTATCTTGGATAGTAAGCTAAAATGGAAATCACATGTTGAGTCAAGAATCAAAAAAGCAATGACCACATTGTGGACTTGCAGCAGAGCCTTGGGAAAGACATGGGGTCTTAAACCAAGAGTTATGTATTGGTTGTACACGTCAGTGATTAAACCTATGATATTGTACGGTGCCCTGGTCTGGTGGACCAGAACAGCACTCATTACAGCTAGGAAAGAACTTAGTCGCATACAGAGAATGGCTGCTATTGCCATCACTGGAGCATTAAGAACTACACCAACGGTCGCATTAGAGGCACTAATTGGATTGCCTCCTCTGCATCTAGAGGTGAAAGCTCACGCCAAAGCTACAGCACTAAGATTCCACAACTTAGGTATGTGGACTTTGGAGAGTGATACAACAGAACATGGTAAAATACTAAAAGAGATAGACAAGGGCTTTTTAGAATACCCCTTGGACTATATCAAACCGGTTCTTAAGAATAACATTCCCTACAAAGTGGAGATCACTACACGTATAGAATGGAATATTAACCACCTGACTGACAAAGGAGGATTTGTATTCCCATAATTAAGATCCAAAAAATCAGGAAAGGTAGGTGCTGGAATTTGGGGCTTAAAGCCACGAATAAATGTCAGTATGTCATTGGACACAACACCCTCTGTTTTCCAAGCAGAGGTGATGGCGATACTGGTAGGGGCTCAGAACCTGCTGGTATACAAAAATAGGAAGATAACTATCTTAAGTGATAGTCAAGCGGCTTTGAAAGCACTCTGTAACGATCAGGTGAATTCAAAGCTGGTCCTCGAATGCAGGGAAACTTTAGAATCACTATCGAGGTTCAACAAAGTTACACTAGCGTGGGTACCAGGACACAACGGTGTCACTGGAAATGAGAATGCTGACTTTCTAGCCAGGAAAGGAGCAGAGAACACCTATGTTGGACCAGAACCAGTGGTAGGGCTCACTGAGCAATCGCTCAAAGCGTTACCCAAGAATTGGTGCAGAGAACAACACAGGAAAATCTGGAAGTACTTGGTAGTACCTAGACAATCTAAAATGTTTATCAAGACCCCTGGTTTATTGCTGGGTGATCTTAATAGCATGACTAGACATCAAATAAGCACCCTGACTGGTCTAATGACAGGACATGGTCACCTGCTTAAGCATCTTAACGCAATGGGGGTATCGGAATCACCATTGTGCAGGAAGTGTGGAGTAGAAGAGGAAGACTCATTTCACATCATGTGCGAATGTGAAGCCTTGTCCACACTAAGATCAAACTACTTGAATAAACCATTTCCTGAAAAAGAGGATATTAAAAACCTAAAACCCAGAGAGATACTTAATTTCGCCAGAAAGACAGGACTCTTTGGTCATCTTTAGAGGTGACTTTATGGTTGGTAATGTATTAACACTTTGGTGATAACACTTAGGTGGGTAAACCGAATCAAGACAATTCGGTATGAGGTGCGCACAATGGACCAACAGGTCTGAGTGCATGGGCATTATGTCCACCTCAAAAATAACTAAAACTACACATTATTCTTGAATTATTAACTATGTAATACTTTTTAAGTTCATCCCTTATGCTTTGTAATTGTGTCAACTTTGTTTTTTTCAAATGGGAACACATATTTTGAATTATTAATAAAACTTTTAAGTTTCAAATATACATGTATATAAATATATGTATATATATATAATATACATATATATATGTATAAATATATAATATACGAGGGGATTCCAAATACAAATAGCTATTTGGTTTTTTATGACATTGATATTTGCAGGTACACAGTATTTATTATTAATCGTAGTAAGGCGCACATTGTTGTGAGCTTATAAATACACGAACTAGCAATACAGAAAGTATATCTATTGATAGTCATAATTGACAATAGTGACTGACGTAATAAAAAACCAATTAGCTACCAAGAATAATGTGTAATTCAAGGTAACCAAAAACAATGTTAAAATTATATTTACTCTGTAAGTAATTGAGTGGGTTATGATAAAAAAATCACCTGTATGTTTTACCTAAGTTAACTCCTATGAGTAATTTTTAATTTATTATAAAAAGATAAGAATAAATATAAGTTATTAGTTAAACAAATAGTATGATTTATTTTAACTTCAGATTCAGATTCGTCTAAATTTAAAGGAAACTAAAATTAAAATTATTTCCAAATTTGATGCACCTAGGAGTAAAAAAATCAAAAATTAAATTGAATATGATATATCAAAGTTATTCATTTCTTTTTTATTTACAATAATACACAATAATTCATAAGCCAATACTTATTATAAAAATACACGACTTGAACTTAAATCTATATATTTATCCATCTAGAAATTGAATATCACAGCTGATTTACAGTTCTTTAAACAGATATAATTTTGAAGTCATTACAATTAAATTAATAAATTGGTACTAAATTTTTACAACTAAAACAGCAAAATTTTGAATTAAGTTTGCATGTGTTCATTAACACTATAATAATTTTATGTACAAGTAATACATAATTATGTACCCTGTCAGTAAATAGTAATTATATAATATTTAAGAAAAATATGTACAAAGCTGAATATTTTTACACAACAAAATAAACTTGAGTTTATATTATTGTACTATACATAAATAAAAAAAGATAAAATTATTCATGACTGTAATATTTTTTCCAATAGTTGTAACTTCTAGATTTTGATTTATAGTTTTCATCACCTCGATAATCCCTATATTCTTTATAATCTTTATAATCACGATAAGTGGGTACTAATCTATAAAAATAATACATAATTTATTTAAATTTTTTGCAAGTTTTAAATGAAACTTGAGTTTTAGCTTCAATGCGAAGCTGAGAAGATATTAATTTTACTATGATGTGTTTTTTTTTTTTATGTCCGTTGCCACTTTTCCTCAGCTCTCACTGGACTGATTTCTTTCAAAAATACATCAAAAGATCACAAATCGTATCTAGTTGGAGACATTACCATTAAAATTTAAAAAAATTCTCTCGTTCCCCGAAAATGGGGGAAATATCCAAAAAAATTACAAGTTTAAAAATCAGTAAATTTTGTCATTTTTTTCACTTTTTTTTTCTTAAAACTGCCATAACTTTTTCAAAAATTAATAAATCAACATAATTTTTTTTTTATACTAAAACCTTAGATATTTCCCTTTCATTTTATATAATTTATTTTGAAAATCTAACACTTAACCTGCTCATTGGGGGGGATTTAAAATTAAAGCTTATTTTGTGTACTATAAAATAAAAAAAAAAATTTGTCCCAACGACCTATCTTCTATGCGCAAATGGCTACCATATTCAAAAATATGCTATTTTAACAAATTTTTTTTTTTTTAATTAAACACTATCTACAGATTTGCATTTGCGTTTTAAGGGTTTTTTATGATAGTGATTTTAATCACTGTCAGATATCATCTATGCTGGACCCAACTATGCCACGACCCCACTGTGCTGTTATTTTTTTAAATAAGACAATAGAATTTTTATACTCAATAGCAGCCATAAAATATGTTTAATTATGATTTATTATTATTTAAATTAAATCAAAACTTAAAATATTCTAACAAATTTAAAAAAAATTCCAGCACAGGATTTTGGGAAACTTTTTTTTAATTTCTTAAATTTTGTTGTCTTTTTTTTCTTTTTCAAATTTTTGAGAATTAAAATGGGGTTTTTTATACACATAAACAAACAAAATCAGTTCAATGAGAGCTCAGAATTTTTTTATACACACACACAAAAAATTATAAATACTTTTTCAGCTCAACATCAAAGCTAAGTATTAGGAATAGTAATTTATTGAATATTTCTTTTATTTTTTTATGGTAATTGAAAACTAGTAAGAGGGAATAATGTGTTATGAATTAGTTTCTAAAATGTAACAGAGTAAAACTCAAAACATATTAAACTTAGAAAGAATGACATTTTTAATGTATTTTCACAAATATGCGTGAATAGAAAATCTTATCAAACTCCTAACTCTTGATGTAAATGATATTTAACTAAATATATGTTTTTTTTCTTTTATTATGTTGATAATTTTAACAATTAACTATTTTACAAACTTGTTATTTGAAGACTTATGACGCCGGTATCCTCCAGAGGAACTTGATGATGGCGATGAGGAACTACTGTAATGTTTTCGGTTCTTTTGAGATTTTTTCTGATTTTTAGAACGTCTTTCTGATATTGATTTGGACCGAGATCGATCATGACTGTAAAAGGTTTTTTTTTCCATAGAATTAATCTTTTTTATGTATAACTATTAAAATAATTTAATTAAAAATATTATGATGAATATAAAAATATTAATAATTAAACATCATTTGATTATTTACTTAACCCATACACATTAGTCTTAATGTGATTTTACTCAAGTTTTAAAAATAATGAACAGATAAGAAAAAGAAAAAATGGTATCACTAACTTGAACATCATTGATTCATATAGAAATACTAAGGTATATATTAATTTAACAAAAAAAAAAAAATCTTAAATCAAAAATATTTACTCACTTTCTTTTTTTGGTTTTTTTAGAATTCCTTGGACTTCTACTTCTCGATTTAGACTTTGAAGGTGTTCGACTTCTACTTCTTTTTGTTACTTGTTTTCTAAGGTAACAATAATAAATATTACAAATCACTATAATTAAATTCTTCTGTTAAGACTTCTATAAACCTTAATTAACAATAAAATTGAAGTTTAATTGATTACAAAATTTTTTAAAAATCCATATCTATATATATATAATATATAAAAAAAATGATGCACATGTATTATATTTAAAACAGTGTTACTTTAACTTTAAGTTTAGCATAATGAAGTGCAACCCAATAAACTTGTACAAAATAATTTTAATTTAAAGTAATTATATGTAAACAACTAATTGTTTATAACAAAAAAAATATGGTACTTGTTATTTGGTGTGGTCGAACCATTATTTTCTGAAATAGCACTAGCTACACCATTACTCGACGGTGGTAAAACAACTTCTGGTTGAACCATTGTAGTAAGTGCAATAGCTGCCATTGCAGCTCTAGCCTTTTCTTTTTCTTTCTCTTTAGCTAAATCATACTCTTTTTTTAATTCTTCAACTTTTTTTTCTAAATCTTCTGTGACAACCTTATAAAAAATAAAAAATATTAATGATTATAAATTAAATGTATAATACACTTTAAGTTCAACTTATTCTTACTTTGGGTCTTAAGTATAATTTGAGTATTTTGCGACAGATGTCCTGGATGTCTTGCTCAGTTGCCTTGAAAAGAGAATACCATGCAGGGTTCTTTGGTAATGGAATTTGTAATTTTCTAGCAGATAAATAGATGCAAGCACATGCAATTGTTTCAGGATCATATTGAACAAATACATCTGTTTGCAAAGAATCATTCATATAGTTCCAGGACATCTGCATGAGTGATTGATGTTTTTCAAATCCAAGAGCCTGCAGATACATGACAATGAGTTTATGAGGGTGTTTAACATGAACACAAAAACCGAGCTCCTTGAGCACACGTCGTTCTGCTTTTATTACCTGTGTCTTCTTCTGTACATAATTCTGATCAAGTACTAATGGTGTAATTAATCTGCAACATGGGCGGGGCATTTTTGGGGGCTATTTTGGACTAGAGATTATGTTTACTCTTCGAGTAATAATGATTCCTAACCACAACTGACTTATAGTTTATAATAGTAAACAGAATCCTATTAAAGTAAATTCGCATTCTATTACAGTTTAGATAATATCATAAGAAAAATAATCAATCTATTTAATACTTAGTCACATTTTATCTCAATCATGTTAATTAACANTTTTTTACAGTTTAGATAATATCATAAGAAAAATAATCAATCTATTTAATACTTAGTCACATTTTATCTCAATCATGTTAATTAACAAAAATTAGCATATTTAAGATTTTCAATATAATACATTAACATTATCAACCTATTTTATACTTTACAAATCTCTAGTCCAAAATATTTCTTATGTAGAACAATAAAAAAACTATACCAATGTATATGAATGTGTTAATATTTTTAACACATGTGCATTTAAATTTAAGAAATTTTAGTACTTTGAAAATGTATATATATGTATACAACAATTTTTTAACACTAAATATTGATATTCAAACACATTAAATTTAATTTGTTTTGGCATTTGCAATTTATCCATTTCCAATAAAGCACCAAAATTTCATATGTAGATACCTTAATAATGAAGATTATAAATAATGTTGCAAACAATTTGTCCAAAGGATTTGGAGTTATCTTGAATCCAGTAGATTTGACATTTGCAAAATCAGAAACCATTTCTCTGTAAATTCTGTGATCATTTGATACAAAACTTTTAAGGTTAAGTACAATCACTATATTAGAATTCATATTATTCTATTCACATTGATTTATACTATACCTCTTAATTTGACATACTATTTTTAGTTTTTATAGTTTTTTTTTTTTTTTTTTTCACAGACCCTAACTCTTTTTGGAGGGGAAGCTTTTATACTCAGCTTATTTGAATTTATCATGTAACAATTTATTTAACATATTTATATTTTTAGGGGTCCAACAGTGTTCTTGACGTGACGACCATCAATTTCAACGTGATTCCACCACGTTCGCTTTCCTTCCCACAATTCAAACCGAGGGCAACTCACCCGGCGGTCAGCTGTGGAAAGTATCTGCGAAAACGCAAGTTATAAAATAAATTTGTGCACTTAATTTGAGTTAACAATAATTGTCACTGAATTTGTTGCAATATAGATATTTATAGTTAAAATAGTTTGTATATATAATTATAAACATATCCTATTCACACTATAAATAGCAACAAAAACAATGTACTTCTGTGCACCCTACAGTTTTTGCATGAATACACTTTTGATCAAAATAATGATATATAATTATCACTTAATTAATCATGAAAATTTTTATTTGTTTAATTAAATGTATTTCATTTGCCATTAAAAAACATCATAAATACTCAAAAAATTGTAAAAGTTAATTTAAAAGCAATATGTAATTTTACCAAATTTAATTAAAAAATAATACTACTCTCAAAAATATTAAAAATAAATAAAATAAATATAACATTGTAAAATTGAAGATGATTTAAAAAAAATTAAGAAGACGGAATGATCTCTATAAATGTTATAAATGAGGCATAGAGAATTAAATTTGTACTTTGCAACTACTGTAGGATATCTGAAAGTTTAAATTGCACACCTAGATAAATAAGATATTAATCCTAATACAAATATTTGTCTATAACAAAATTGAAATAAATAAAATATAATAGATATATCAAAATGGTACAGAGAAAAATGCAAGTGGTAAATTTCAGTAGATAGCCTACAAATAGATGAGTAAAACAATGTAGAAACAGGGTGTACCGTTAAATTAAATAAAAAAGTTATGCATACAAATAGTATAAGATATTGCCAAAAATGATTAATAATTTAATAGAAATCTTGAAATTACATACACCTGGCTTATTCAAATTTGTTGTATCATATATCTTGTTATATTTTCTTACTTAAATAAGATAATTGTATTAACTTTGAGGTTTTACTATAAAAATTCACGAAAGTAATCCAAATTAATTTTTGAAAATATAGCACTTTTTTCGTTAAACTAATCAATAATATTTACAAATAAAATAATAATGTCAAGCATGACTATGAATACTTTGATACATTAATCTCATAATTTATTAATTAAAAATAGTGTACATTACGAGACACCCTGTCAACAAATATGTAATTTATCATCTATATAAACAAATAATCTTCAGTATTATGCACAAAATTTTGAAACTTCTACTTATTTTTACTAAAAGCATAAGTTGGAAATTAAAGAAATATTTTTATTTATAGTTTAATCTTTTAAATATGGGTGCTTTTTAAATTTTCTATTTGAGCATGAATAACTTACCTTGGATTGAAATTTTTAAATCAAAATTTCTTAACTGTTTGTATATAAATATGTAAAATAATAATCTAATCTACATAAATATATAAATGAAATTTTGTTAATTTATTAAGCCAATTAAATTGACTTTTTAAACTAAAAATCTTAGTCATTGATTTAAGTAGTTAAAGTACAAAATTAAAATGTATAATATTTTTGTATTTTAATTGTAAGCCTGAATAGTAAATATTTTGAAGTTAATAAGAAACAGATCTAATCAAAATTAGTCAGTTGTGATTTTAAAGATGATTAAAAAATTAAATCACTACAACTTACTTCTGATTTAGAACTTGACGAATATGATGAAAAACATTAATAACATCTCTAATACGTCTAGGCGATTCTTCAACTTTAGAAGCCAAGCAAGTACAAGCCATGGCTGTAATTTCCATTGGATGGCGAACAAATGATTTAGTATAGTAAAATCGTTGAAATAATACTTGCCCAGTAGCCATTGCAACCTTAAAAAACATCATTTTTCATTGGTTAAAATAAAATAATTTGCATATTAAAAACAAATAATAGTGAAAGACAACAAAGAAGACATTGAAATATCTATACTCTTTTATTTAAATTATAACTTAAAAATCAATTTATAATATTCTTTGAAAATTTAATTTAAAAAAACTAAGATTTATTAATAAAATAATATTTTTCGTAGATAATTTAATTTACTAAAATATCATACCTGAGGCAGTTTAAGTAATATACCAGCGGTTTGAATCCATTCACACCCAACAATTCTTAAGTCGACTTCAGTTTCAAAATCTAACCCATCTGTCATTGAAGGTGTAGATGTTAACTTTTCTTTAGGTAATAATACGTTACTTAACGTTAACAACACTTTGGTAGTCTGTTTTAATGTATGGCGATCATTTACGTCCGACATTGTTTCCATAATGCACATTACAGTTTCCACAGAATAGAATAAAATTACTTAACAATATGCAAAATTAGGATAAGCAACATATGTCTAATATCTTTAATTGCGAAGTTGAATTTTGAAGTTAGTCATTGGTTATTACTGAATAAATGCCAGTGTAAACAACAAAGATGGCGTTGTACTATGACGTCAAGACCATGAATTTAACATGAGCATAAGACCATTTTTCTGTTAGAACATGTGATCATGAAAATGGCAGGTTTAATACAGTGATACCATAACCACTAAATTATTGTATTATACAGTAGTGTATGCAAAACTGTAGTTTTCAGGGTACTATTTAGTAATTCACTTTTAAAAATATTTTTAATTTTACCATAAATTTAATGAAATTTTGTAGTTTTCATATAATCTGAGATCAGATGAGGATTCAAAGTAAGAGTTATAAGAACGGATGGATAGGTGAGTCGAAGACGCTTTAAATTTATTTTCAATTAAAAATATAAACAACTAGAAACTTATTTATACTTTTTTTAAAAGATTGTTTAATTAATTATTTATGTTTTGGATACGATTTTATGTAAGATGATAAATGGCAATGAAAAAAATAATAATTTTTTGTGCTATTAATAATATGTTTATAATATTCATATTAAGTATGATTGTAGTTATTGAATTCAAAAACAGATGCATGTTATTAGGCACTAAATTTATATTTTAGATGGAAATAAATCATATTTCATTAAAGCATTTAACACGCATATTTTTAGATAAAAATTGTATGATTTTAAATATTGCCTAATGTTTACATGTAAAAAGGAGTACTTAAAACACTGTTTGAATGAACTGTGTTTTAAGTAAAATACCTACTTTTTCAGTAAAAATGATCTGCCAATATAATTCAATTTTTTAAACCAAAAGTGATTAATTTTAATTTGATACAACCTAAAATCAATATTTCCAGGATATTATATAAAATCAATTTAAACAGCTAACTTTTTATGTGTTATGTTTAAGATGAAAAAACACATACAAATTCTGAAAATGGTCACTTGTTATTGAAGTAATATTTAATTACTGCTTAAAACCTTAAATCACTGTGCAAAAATTATTTTAACATTAAAATTAAACCAATTTATGTGTTGCGATTACGTGCTGACTTAGTGAAACATCTTTTAGTCAATCAACTGATAGAATAAAGTTTGAATTGGAATAAAATAAAAAAATATACCTAAACATTTCATTTTTAATTGAAATTAATTTAATCTTTTACTATTAACTTTCTTATTCTATTGTCACAAAAAATATAATGGGCTAATGATAAAAATAACTTTAAGTTATTGTAAGTTTTTGATTAGACATTATGAAGATGTGAAAAAATTGCATTGATAGTGCCTTTTTTTTTAATTTTTTTTGCTCAATCAAAATTATTTAAAATTATTGAATGCATTTTAAATAACATTATTTTAATTTTCAGAAGTGCAGTGCTAAATTATAATATAAAATATACTTTATTACTTTCTATTATTTTTATTAAAAAAAGTATATATCGATAATATTTATTTTTATTTACATTAATATGTATTATTAAATAGATTTATAGCTATTACATTTATTTATCAAATATATATTTAATTATTTATTTAATGTAAGTATAATAGATTATACTTGATCATTATTTTTATTAATTATTTATTATTAACAATTTACTTATTTCATTAATGAAAATAAATAACAAATAAAAAATAAAAAAGAATAATATAAATAATAAATATTATATAATTTTATTTTCATTAATAAGAATAATTATAAAAATAGATTTAATTAAATTATAATATAAAATATATTTAGCGCTTTATTTAAGTGGATCAAATTTAAAATGTATACAGTTGTGCATTTTTTTTTTTAGAATTGAGTAATTAAATTATTTATATAATTTTGACAAATTGTTTAAAATAAAAAATGCATTTTTGTAAATTTACATCAAGTGAATTAAATTTAATAAATTATTAAATTAGCAATAAATTGTTGATGTAAATAAAAAATAAATATTTTAATATTAAAAATTAATTTGTATGAATTCAAAATTCAAAATATTTTTATATCATTACAATAAATAGTAAACAATCGTCAAACATAAATGTTTATCAAATGCACACATTTATCAAACATACATGTTTACTAAACTTATACATTCATAGAATAATAAAATTTTGACTGTATACCTAATAGAACACTAGAATTCGATTGACGCAATTATTGTACATCATGGTTGGCCATTACGTGTGGCCTACATAGACTGACCTTTTTGCAACAAATAGATTCTATTGTTTTATTCGGTATACGGGCAAAATTTTATTAATTGATGATAGTATAAAAGACTAATAAAACAATAAAATCTGTTTGATGCAAAAGAGATATCTTGTGATAGCCAAACCTGATAACAAACGTTATAATTTCCTTATTCAGATCCCCTGTAAAGAAATTTTACTTCAAAATGAAAAAAAGATTTTTTTTAATTGACAATTAAAATTAATGAAATTAAACTATAACAATATTTTCGAGATTTTCAGATCTAAAATTTCTTATTAGTATAACTTAAAACAATTTAACTAAATCATTGGCATGAATAACAATAAATATTAAGTACTAAGTAAACATAATAACAATAATTTAATTTAATTAATTATTCCAAATCAATTGAGTAAAAAAATATATATATATTTCATTATTATACTTGGTTATAAAACATATTGAAGGTGTTAAAAAAAATTCTGTCTCATCTTTGAACAAACTCTTCTAATAAAGCAGTCAATTTTTGTCGCAGCCTTTTATTATTTTGACAAACACAATTAATAATTGATAATAATTGTTTATGAGAATATTCCTAAAAAAAATATATATATATATATAAAATTTTAAATTAAAAATGAACATAAAGAGTTTTTAAACATTGTAAATTGATTATAAAGAAAGAGTTAATTTTTATTTAACATCAACATAGTCTTAATATTTTGATATATAAAATTAATTAATTTGTAAATAAAAATTATAAAATATTTTAAAAACTGTTTTTTATCTTAAATAAATAAATAAGCATTTAATTGTATAATTTTTCTCTACAACAATTAACCTGATGATCTCTAGTCCATGATTCCAATGAAGTTTCTGGTAAATAATAGGCTTTTATATATACTTCAATAAGATTACTATAAGGCATAGGGCTAATTGGACATATTAATTTTATTTGAGACATAAATTGTGTGTAATCAAGTTGCATCAAGGCTCGTCCTGCATTAGAACATTTTTTTGGTAATGAAAATCTAAAATTTAATTTAAAGAATATTTAAAAATATATATATATATTTCATAATAAGATAATGTATATACACACACAATTTGATTTATTGTTGACCACTAAAATTTCCCTAAAATAATAATAATTTTGAATATTTTATTTTGTTTACTTATTTATGTTCTCAATTTTTCAATTATAAAGTGTATTTTTGGATTAATCCTTATACATTTTAATTAAGGACAGATTTATATGCATTTATAAATGTTGTAAAGTTATTTCAAAAACATTAATTGTCAGTCTAAATTTTTGTTAATTGACTTAAAAACAGTAATGTGCTTTAATTGGGGATATAATTTTGTAGTGGATTAAGAGGGTTTATTCCCCTCTAAAACAAAAAAAATTTCTATGCTACTATACAGAGAATTTCATCAGCATTTAAAATTTTTAATAACTTTTTATTCAACAAATGTTTTGTGTTACATTTTTTTAAAATAATTTTTACAGTTTTGGACTATGTTAAAAGTGTAAAAAATTAAAAATGTAAAAATAAAAGATTTTTTTTTTATTATTATAGACAAGTAATAAAAAATACTCTTATAACATAATCAATAACTGTAAAAATAATTTAAAAAAGAAGTAATGCAAAATATTTTGCTTGATCAAAATTTTTAAAGATTTCAAAACTTGGTGGGACAGTCTATATATTTCTATAACTAGGGTTTTTTCAAAGTGGCTAAAACAAAATGTATAAATTCGTCACTTATTTATAAATGCTATATCATCTTTTAGTCTCTATCCTAACTAATTGGTGTCAGCTCTACCTTACAATGATTTAACAGGATTTTACAAGTTGTTTAAAAGACATAACCTCATTATGGCCAAGGAAACTAATAAGGGGTCAAGGTGCGTGTTAATTTTAAAGTTTCCATATGGTCGCCTATCTAGTAATCAATAGAAAACAACAAAACTGAACATCAGTGCTACGGCAACACTGAACGAATCACTGCATCACACCTTACTTATAATGGTGTCAACTATAATTTTTAAAAATTTTTAATACATACTTTAATAAATTTAATTATGGAAAATGATTCAACTAAGAAAATGACTAATTGATAACAACTTTTTAACCAGTATTTTTTAAGTTATTAATATTTTTAAATGTAGATTAGAGATAAAGTGCAGATGTTATTTTTATGACCACACATTTTTGGGCCACACTCTTCCTCCTGCTTAGATATAAAACAGTTAGTAACTTCCAAAAGTTGTTTTCAAACAGTTTAATTAAACCACTATCCATTAAAAAGGTAAGTTCCCATTTAAAAAAATTAAGTTAATACCCTTATAAGGGACAAGGGATAGAAATAAAAAGTGTTTAATTACTTATAAATCAAAAACAAATACCACTGAAACTATGTATTTGAAATTATTATAGTGAAACCAACATTCAATGGACCTAAACAGTTTATTAGACAGAAAAATCTTTTAAATAAAAAAAAATTTGGACTCATTTTTCTGTTGAAAGAATGTTTCACTGTCTTATATTAGAAGAATTATAGTGATCAACAATAAATAAATCACTTATTATATATTTTTGTTACCCTTCAATAAAAACAAATGAAACAAGAACTCCTATTGATTCCCAAAATGAATTTAAAATATGTTCATTTATAAAAATATTTGAAGTTGATGTTTTAAAGCTTTTGAAAAATGCTCTTATTTCCTAAAAAATAAAACATTTTTAAAAATATAAGTTTAACATATTATATTAAACAAATATTGTATATATTTTTCATAATATTAATTGTATAAATTCAGAGTTAAACAACATCTAATTATTTTTTATTAATCTTATTTTTAACTTAGAAAACTAAAAACCCAAACCAACCAAATGTCCAAATGATGACATTTACTTTTCGGTAATTTTAATCTTCTCAATTTAAACAATACTTCATTCAATGCAAAAATAAACCTATCTTCTTCTGAATCAGTTTTCCTTGAAAATCTAGCTTTTCTTAATCTTTTCCAAATTAATACAATTCCTAATCATACTGGTTATATGCCTGACCTAATATTATCTAACCCTTCTACTCAATATCTTTAAACAATGATTCTATCATTCCTACTAACAATTACCATCCACCATTAAAAGTCTGTGTCTAACCATAGTTCTATCTCTGCCTCTCTTTCATATTCTGAAATTTCATATGACTGATCTAAAGAGCAAATATAATACAATTGTAACATTCCTTGGATCAACTATTCGATGAAAATTTTTTAATTTACTAAAAAATATCTGTTCTAATTGATGAATTTAATTATTTTCTACATTTTACTATAGTCTTATATAGCTATAAAAAGTATTACCAAATCTAAATTTCCGCCTTGGTTTTCCAAGTTCCAAATAAAATTAACAAAACAAAAAACCTAGTACTAGGGGGTCGCGGCACAGTGGTGATGTGGCATAGTTGGATCAAGTATAATGATATCTGACAGTGATTAAAATCACTATCAAAAAAAAACGAAAATGCTTTGATGCAAATCTTTAGATAGTGTTTAATTTTAAAAAATTGGTGGATTATTCCAAAAGTTACATGATCTGCTAGTTCCTTATAAATATCCTGATTAAGATAAAGTATGTTGAATGAAAAAGGGATTATTAAAAAATATTATTTCTCATAAAAAAATTGTGTTGATTCATACACTTTACAATAAGTTATAGCATTATAAAGTTAAAAATTAAAAAATTAAAATCGAGAATTTTCACACAAAAGTAGGATTCGGTAACTATTTTCACCTTGAAGACAAAATAAAAAATAAAATTTTTTTTTTCCATAATGTATATTAGATTAGCTTTAATCTAAGATATATATAGAAGTCTCAGTATTTCCGGAACACTTTCAAAAGTTAATTTTTCGTGAAAAAGTTGTCATTTTGAATCCCCCCTGTGGGATGGTAAAAGGTTAAATTTATAAAAAAAATTATATTGATCTGTTCATTTTTGAAAAAGTTATGTCAGTTTTAAGTAAAAAAAATTAAAAAAATTTTGAAAATTAGCGATTTTTAAATTTGTAATTTTTTTGGAGGTTTCCCCCATTTACGGGGAACGAGGGAAATTTTTTTAATTTTTGAGGGTAATGTCTTCGACTAGATACAATTTGTGATCTTTTGATGTTTCATTGAAAGAAATCGGTTTGGTGAGAGCTGAGAAAAAATGGTAACAGACACACAAAAAAAAAAATAGTAAAACCAATATCTTTTCAGCTTCGCATCGAAGCTAAAAGTAGATATATCATAATATATATAAAATGTCTAACTTTAACAGTGATTATTTAAAATTTTCTTCTATTCATTCACAAAGTAAAACCTTAAGTAAATTTGATTACTCTCGTTACCTAAATAATATGAAATCTCAACCTAACAAGTTGTGGTATTACATTAAAAAACTTAAATTGACAACCGGATTACCTAACACTATGTTTCAAACAGTCTATAATGATATCGAATAATATCAACTAATGTCAATAATCATAATGTTCATTTTCTATTTAAATAAACTACTTTTCATCTTATAATAAATTATTATATGTATTTAATTGTAAATATTTTTGCTATCTTTATTCTACCTATATTGGTATATTATTATATATATATATATTTTCTTTTCTTAATATTATTGCTGTCATACTGTCAACCATTTACTAATTAATCTTTATTGCATTTACTAATCTGTTTAAACACTATTGTTATTTATTAATGTATGTTAAATTGGACATTTTTTCATATAAATAAATAAAAAAATTAATTTAAACTTAAATAAATTAAAACAAATAGCGATGTTTAAATTAAATCCAAAAATATTTTCGAAAATTAGTTGTTTATTTTGTAATTAAGATTTAAATTTAATGTCCTGTCAAGTAAGTTATTTAATACTTGTATTAAAGAAATGAAAAAAATTGTAAATCTATTTTCAATAAAATTAAATTCTGATACTTTTGCACCTATAATTCCTAACCAAAATTATTTTTATACATATATTAAATTGTAACATTGACAAAACATATATTTAATTGTTAACATTTTAAATTATGTAATTTCATTTATTGCAAAATAAAGTATTATATATTTGTAAATCATTTATTAAATTTTAATTATATTTTACTTACTTGAAGAAAATAATCTACATATCTGCTATGTTCACACATAATATCTTTTAATTCCCAATTTACTTTAACCATCATATTTAATACTTGATTGAAGTCAATTGCTTTGCAAATCACACGCCCATAAATTGGTTTTCTTAAATCCATAGATACTGATACAGTCTAAATAATATGTATAAATTACAATTATTCAAAGACATTATCTAAAGAGAAGAAATATTGATTCCCCAGTTAGAGATAGTAATAATCTAAGTAATAATGCATATGATATTATTATTTCTATCTTATATTTACAAATTAATTTACAAAAATACTAATTTAAAGTAAATTTCTTTCGCCCTATTTTAATAAAAAAATAATAACTTTTAATATGTTTGATAATGTGCTGCTATGGATTTGCTTCTCACTAAATTTTTCTAAATTTATTTTTATTGAGATTAATTAATAAAAACTTTCTCAAACTCAGATAACTTAAATATAGTTAATAATATTATTAAAAACAATAGTGTCAATAAAACTAAAATAATATAATTTACAATAATTTCACCTGGTTATAAAATTGTTGTAAAGAATATACACCAGAATCAGTAACTATCAATGAATGAAGATAATCATGTAGCAAGTTGAATTGTTCAGCTAAAAATACCAAAGATTCTACAGCCACAATTCGTTCAGAAACACCATACATATTATTTGCATCTTCAAGACTTAGCATATGTAAAGCATCTGGTTCACGAACCTGAGATCCACATAAATAAATAAATTTTGTCAATTTAAGGACAACTTAATTACTTACATATGAATATTCATCGTTTTCATTTTCAAGGTTACATTGCACTAGAGTGTTACGTATTCTAGTAATCACTGATTGAAGTTTTATGCTACTCTCATTTCTAAAAATTGTAGGCTACAAACAAAAAATGATCATGTTTTACTAGATATTTACAATGTTTAATAATAAAATAACTCTATAGACATTTAAATTACATTTTTTTAGTATGGATTTTTACTAAAATCTCAGATTTCACTATGAGAACAAAGTTATTCTAATAATTATACATTATTAAAATTAAATTCGATTTTAGATTCGTATAAAATAAAACTCAGCTTAGACAAAACGCCTTTATATTGAAATAAGTGTTCATTCTTAAACTGAGATTATTGATCAAAAAAGTTTTTCAACAAATAAGAAAATAAAATAAGTCAGATATGATAATTATAAAATAACAATAAAATAAAAAATTGACAAATTTCTTGGTTCAATCAACTTATTATTACTTACTATTACATCAGATGTGAACAATAAGTGAATTGAATATAAATAATACTCAAATAGTTGACATAAACAAGTTACAACATTTTCAGATATTGATTTTAACAAATAACACATTTTTAAATATTTTCCACAGTGCCTCATTACTGTTAATGTTGTGTTAGTAAGCAAAGGGCTCTGTTTTTTATTTCCAGTAGGTATACTACAGTTGTCTACTTCTTCATAGCTATTATTAGAATCATCACTACAAACACTATTAACATCCATCTGAAAGAAATAAAATTATGATGTGAAAAATAAAAAATGAAATGATATTGAATTTATTATTTAATAGTCTAATAATTAAAAAATGTTTTTTTTTTATTTAATTGATGACAGGACATATATATAGTTATTAGTATTATAACTGTTCCTCATTTAAATTTTTGTATAATTGTAACTAATTTATTACTTCAGTATCTAAAATATCTTCGCTGTAAGTCGTATTCAAGTCATCATCAAATGGTGATTTATCTGGTCTAAGAAACAAATCATATGAGCTTATTAAGCTACTATCTTGTGATGAATTTCTATTATGAGATAAATTTCCAATATTTTGGACACGATTTTTGATTGATTTAAATTCCTATAATATAATAAAGTAGTTAAAAATAATAAAATTTTGGAAAAAATAAATTAAATTCAATATATTAATACTTTTAATTGCAGTAAGTTGAAATCTTGCTTTACTGGACATAAAGTCCAACTTTCATTTTCAAAAAATAGAGTTAGTTCATCTAAACTCTTTTTATGATATGTTTGAAAATAAACAGTGCATAATTTTTTTGTATCATTTTGTAGCTGCTCAGATTTACTACTACAAAAATCTTCACCAATTTGAATATGCCTATAATTTAAAGAAATAAGGTTTACTAATAATTGAGTGTGGTATACAACAAACTTATTGCTAATATATGAAAATCTAAATAAATCAACACAAAAATTTAAAATAATATAGATTAAAAAAAAAAAATTATTCTTTTAATTACTTGTTTAATATAGATAAAACTTGTAAGAAATCATCAAACTTGAATTGAGTTATGTTTGAATTAAATACTAGGTTAGATACTTTAGTAATAATTTCCCCCCATAATCTTACTGGACCAACTTCAAATTTCTTGTTTATATATTCTTGATTTACATATTCTTCTATGTCATCTAAAAAAAACATTTAAATTACTATACAATTATACAAATATTAATTATGTAGTAAAATGATCCTAAAAATTATTTTTATAATTCCACGACTTGTACCTCTGAATTTTTTATAATGTTAAAATTAGTTGTGAAAATTTGTGATTAATTTAGTAAGATTAACACAAAACTCTGATGTTGGATAAAAAAAAAAACCTGAACTTTTCCCTTCCTAGTTAATTGATAATGTCATATGAATTTCAAAAATATTACTTTTATATTGTTTAAACAATTAAAATCCAACAATTGCTATTTAAATTAAAGAGTATGTGAAACTCTCAGCATTTTTTAATAACAAGTTCTTTTTTGTAACTTTTGAGTATGTTAATGAAAAGATTATGTAAAATTTAATTGTACATTGTTTAATTAAAAAAAGATGGGACAGATTTAATTAATGACTTATAATTTTTTTTGATTGACTCAACATTTAAATTTTTTTTTTTTACTATTATTCATTTTTAGACTGAATTCAAAGCATATTTTGTGATATTTTCCTGCTAACCAAAAATATTCATTTTCTATCCTCAAATAATGTTAGCTAGTCATTAGTAAGTTTAGGGTAAGTACTCTATAAATTATAAACATTAAAAAACATAGAATAGGTAAACGACGTGGAGATAAAAGATTAAATTTATCATTTACTACAGTTTATACTACGTTTATGATTTATCACTTAATTTTTCTACTAAAAACAAGTTCATTTTATTAAATAAAGCTGATGTTATGTGTTATATTATTAGTAATAATTTTAGTAAAATGGTTATTGTCAATAGTAAAACCAAAAAACTTAAATTAAACAGAAATAATTGTATTTTTTATATTTTAGGTATTTATAGAGGTCTTAATGACTTATTTAATAATGATTGTATGCAAATTGTATTTAGAGATATAAATATTAACATTGCTTCCAATTATCTGTATATTACTACTGTTAATTATCATCTGATCATCTAATTGAATGTTTAATTACTCAGACTAATATAATTGATAATAAATGTCATAAGTAATGAACTTAATAAACTTATTTTCGCTAATGTTGGAGGTACAATATCTGATAATATTAAATCTAATATTACCCAACATTTTTTTTTAATAGTAGATGGTGTTTATATTTTGAAAATAATTTCATTTGTTTATTAAATATAAAACTTTTTTAGTATTACATACCAAATAACTCAAGATTAATATGTTACCAAAAGTAACAAAAAACAAAATTTTCAAAATTATTTATGTGTCAGTGTGTAATTGAATGGATTATGATAAAAAAAATTACCCTGCACATGCATAAATATGAAAATTTAATATTATTTAAAACTCATTGAGTTATTATTACTCACCATTGCTTACATGTTTTATGTATTTATTTTTTATTTGATGTTATGTTACTTGGCTTAAATAAAGATTATTACTAATATTATTAATAAAAATGTTGAAACCAATATACAAAAATATTATTTACCTTCATTTAAGCAATGAACATCTCTTAAATCTTTATGCCAATCAGATGCCTTTTTATAACTTTGCAATATATTCCAAAATATTTTACTCAATGCAACTAAACAAGGAATTAACTGTTCATCAGGAATACACTATAAATGAATATTTATAAAAAATAATTACAAATATAATTTTTTCAATATAAAAATTGATATTATAAAAATATTATACCTGACATAATTGTACAAAAGTATTTTTAGAATTTTCAACTTGTTCAACATCAACATATAAGTTGATTGTATCAAATGAAGCCGAATATACTGCTGAAATATAATGCATGTGAAGTTGATCAATTGCAATTCTTGTTTTGCCTAACCGTTTATAAGCTTCTTGAATTGCAGAATACTTCTCGTGATCAAAGTTAAAACACATCTGTGAAATTTATACATCATAAAATTCATTTACAATCAATTTTTTATAAATTAATAATTTAGAATTTTTTTTCATAAAAATGAATGCACATTAAATTATGAATAATAGTTTAATATTGTAGTGGGTCTCAAAAAAATTGTTAAAGAATAATACCATATAATTAACCATGTGGCAATATCTCATATATGATAGTGTAAGTAATTTGTTTTCATACATAAAAATTGGAGAAGCTCAAGCCAGAATAGGTTATAATATATTGCAAGTATGTTACTTGACTACCATTTTATAAATTAAACATTTTTAGTAATTTACATTTGATAACACAATATCCAATTGTTCTTCAGTCATGATTAATGCATCTTGGAGTTTTATAGATAAAGCTGCTATACAAGTAAATTGTTTATAAGTTGATGCTCCTTGTATACATTCTAGTATTAATGTTATCCCTTGTGCATAATTAGCTTTTGAAACTAAATCCTCTAGTTTTTTTTCAGCCTGAAACTACAATAAATATTAAAATTACTTATCCATCAATATCTATGTTTCTAACACCTACAAAAAGGAATTAATTTGCTGTCTAATAAATAAATATCAGGGAGAAAATATAACTGTTTACTCTTCAAATAATAGGCATACTAAAAAATAATAGATTATTTTATGGTAGTTTATTATTGCACATGGGAAAACAAAAAACACTTAATTAAATCACAACTCAGTATTACTTGCTCAATTTTTTTTAAACCAAATCATTTTAGAAACTTTAAATTTGAGAATGATCAAGGAAAGCTTAATAGAAAAGATCTTTCCTGGAAAAAAGTAAATGAGGATTTTCTTCAGTTTTGCATATTTCACATATTGAAATACTTACCAAAATTTTAATACTATTTAATGTGTTTAACAAGTCAATAATGACAGATTTTTTTTGACAATTTCCTAAAAGTCCTAAACTTGCAGTTGTAATTTGCCGCTTAGCTAGCTTCAAACAGTTTTTAGCATGTTCACAGTTTTCTAGACTTGATTTTAAATTATTTTGCATTTTTTCAATTCTTGAATAATAATTTCAGATTTTTTATTTAAAGTAAATTTATAAATAATAATAAGTTTACTCTTACTTATCTAATTCTTCATCACATGCAGCTTGATTCTCTAAAATTAACTGTAATAATTGTTTTTCTACTATCTCATGTTGCGCTTTCAATTTTTTTATATCATAAGAAGTTAATTTTTTATCTATAACCTCAGGTAGTTTCTGAAATATTAAATAGACATACTTGTTAATATAAGTATGTGAACAAGTAAGAGAAACATAATGGTATACTATATTTCAGTTCAATATATTTTTACAATTTTGCTGCATTTACATTATAATAAATTTTCATAATAAAAAATTTTGTGTAAAAATAGATAATGAACAAAATAAAAAAATCAAGATTTAAACAGTATTTAAAAATTTTAAAAAGTATAAAATAGTATTACATTTTGCAATGTTGTTATAGCATTCAACTAAAAATGAAAATTATAGTCTTTATTAGAATACACATAAAATATTAGAGTAATTATCAAAACTCTATTACTGTAATTACTAATTTATATCGTTATAAAGATTATCTAATAATTATTTTTTTTTTTTAAATTTTCATTAATTTAAGAAAATATTGAAATAATAATGTAATGTAGTAAATTTTTATAAAAGACATTAGTTAAACAATTTTACAAAGAACTTAATATTTTGTAAATTATTAAATTTAAATACTCTTGAGCTCTATTTAGGCGAATTCTTCAAAAATTAATTGAATTAATTTTTTGAATTTATAATATAAACAATTTTAGTGACTAGTCAAATCATTTTTTATTTATCTCCAAAAATTATTCAACTTTATCAAAATGTTTTTTACATGAACAATAATGAATTTTGGCAACATGTCTTAGTATTATTTGTAAAAAAAGAGATATATTTTATGCAATACTAATCTATTATGTCATATCCTTTATTTTATTATCCTTCATTTTTTATTTTATTATTCATAACATGGGGGGCATAGAAGGAGCCTCTTCATTAAATGAACATTTTGGTCTAGCAACAGAACATTAAGTACATTCTTGTCGCCCCCTGGAAACAACAGTACCACCCCTAAGCATACCATTGGTTAATCCTTCTAACCCCAGGCCCACTATACTCTTTAATTAATAAATATGAATCATACAAAAAGGCCCTTTTCAGGGCCAACTCTGACAATTGACTCTTATAATATTGAAGGCATAAATTCAAACAAAGAACAACTCCTTTCAGAGTTATGTAAAAAGATTAAGTCTGATGTTTTGTGCATTCAGGAAACACATAGAAGCAAGGAGATGAATACGCCTAAGATCGAAGACATGAAATTTGCTGCTTTAAAACCACATAGGCAATATGAAATCATAATATTTGTGAGAAACTCACTAGAAGTAAACTTAGCCCAAATCACAGAAGAAAAAGATATAAGCTCCTTACTATAGAACTTAGTAACTGCACAGTAACTTCTGTATATAAGCCTCCAAATGCTATTTTCGAATTCAAGAAACCACTTAATTTTAAAGATCAATCAACTAATTTCATTATAGGAGACTTCAATAGTCACCATACAAGTTGGGGCTATGATGTAATTGATGACAATGGCCACAAAGTGGAATTATGGGCAGAGTCAAATGGGGTGACATTAATCCATGACGTAAAGCTTCCAACATCTTTTAATAGTGGTAGGTGGAGTAAAAACTATAACCCAGACATCATCTTTGCAAGTGACAATGTAGCATCACAATGCGTTAAGGAAGTGTAGAGACCAATCCCATACACTCAACACCAACCCGTTGTTTGTAAGATCATGGCAGTTACAAAAACTAACGAAATCCCTTACATTAGAAGATACAACTTTAAAAAAGCCAACTAGAATAATTTCACAAAAGACCTGGACAGGCTGATAAATTATATAGTACCAACAAATGAGAACTACGATAACTTCACAGACCAAGTCAAACTCACATCAAGGCAAAATATCCCTATAATCTGATCCATGCATTACATTCCAGACCTAACACCTGAACTAGAAGACTCCCTACATAAATACACAGAATTGTATGAGGCCAACCCGTTTGAAGAGAATACAATAGAAGCAGGTAAAGTACTAATGAATTCATTGGTACAGAGAAGAGAACGAAGTGGTGCGATCCATTAACCAGTGTAGAGATGAAGCAAAGCAGTAAAACAGTCTGGAATCTCATTAAATGTCTGGATTTCGATCCTAAAAATAAGCCAACTATTCTAATCTTGACTCCAAATCAAATCGCCCATCATCTCCTAATAAATGGCAAGTGTAATAAAAATAAACACAATAAAAGATCACCTAGGCCAAGAGTAAAGCGAATAATAAACGAGGAAATTACTGAGTTGGGAGATCCTTTCCTGTATGAAAAACTTTATATCTCTATGAAGTCGTAAAAAATGGAAAATGTGCTGGACTGAATAACATGTATATAGAACAAATTTAATATTTTGTCCCTATAGCTAAGTAGTGGCTATTGAAATTTTTCAATAATGTTAGATCTACATTAAGACTTCTGAAAATATGGAGGAAATCCAAAGTAGTAGCATTACTTAAACCGGGGAAAGATCCCAACTCTCCATCTAACTATCGACAAGTTTCTCTTCTGTGTCATACATATAAACTTTATGAAAGAATACTCCTAAACAGACTAGGGCCAGTAGTAGATAATAAATTAATTAAAGAGCAAGTAGGATTCAGACTGGGTAAGTCTTGTACTGGTACAAGACTTCTAATAAAGATTTCTAATAAAAGAAAAACTCACCAAAACACTGGAAACAATAAGTTATTACTACAATGATAACTATCTTAAGCCAAACAATAGCAAGACTCTTGTGTGTACTTTTCACTTTAAAAACAAAGAGGCAAATCTTAACCTTTAAGTTACCCGGGAAGGAGAATTACTTACACACTGCAAAACGCCAACATATCTAAGAGTAACCCTTGATAGGACACTAATATTTAAATCTCACTGTGAGAAAACTGCCAAAAAGATAAACACTCGAAACTGCTTAATCCGCAACCATGGAGAAAGTATACTTATTAGCAGGTGTTGCACCCACAACATACGTAGACGTGTAGTAACGAACCTAGAAAAATGTAAACAAACAAATGATAAGAAAGACCTAATGTTTGGATCAGATATGCCCAATTTTCGCCTTAGGTCAAGGAAAAGCTTCTTAAAGGTGACAGAGATACTAACAGAAGATCCATCATTGAGAAGAAAAACCATGTGGAGAGATCAAATCACAGATACTATTTGGGGAATGGAACCAGCCGAACAGCTACCACTAGGTCATCAGTTAGAATGGCAGACATGGAGAACCCTCAACAGAATGAGAGTAGGCGTAGATAGATCAAGAGATAACATGTTTAGATGGGGTTACCTTAACGACTTTGACACAAAATGCAGATGCGGCCAAGAACAGACAATAGAACACCTATTAGTGTGGTTATATCCAAGGAACTCCAACTTATGAACGGAAGTATTTGTGTAATGCAGACAAATAAAAAAGCGATGGAAGTCATTCGCTTTTGAAAAATTTACGATGAATAACTAAATAAAGAACTATATCAAATTATAACTTATTTAATAAACTATATGATTAAGAGAAAAAAACTTTCTATGACATATATTTTATGAGATGTCGACTTATAAAAATAATAACCATGTAATTTTTGATAGACATGTTGAACTTAATTTTAATTTTTTTCAAATATGCATTAAAGCATATTTTAACAGTGATTTTAATCACTGTCAGATATTCAATAATTTTCATCTAGAAATTCCAAAACTCTACTTTTCTGGTTCCCTATTATAGTTTACTTTTTAAATTCTATTTCATCTCAATTAATTTTAATGTTTTTATAATTAGGACTGTTTGAATAATATATTTTAAACTATTAAATAATCAAATTTAAGTTTTATTATTACTTCTAGTTCAAATCTTGCATAATCAAAATCATCATTATTAAAATAAACTTGATCTATATTAGCAATTATATCAGCATCACACTTATCAGGTACATCATCCAAAATTTTCAGACTAGAAATACTTGTATTTTTATTGGAATTGTCCCAAAAATCTTGTGATCCAATAATAGGAACTTTAACTGTACTCTAAAAAATGTAATTATGTATTGTAACAATAGAAAACTATAAAGTGTATATATTTAATTATACCCTATCTAAATTGATGCTTACTAAGTTATACAATAAAACAATTATTAAAACATTAAAGAGTTTCATCCAAGCATAATATAAAATATAATCTATGTTGAAATATGTATAAATTATTAAGTATTAAGAAAATACATACTTTGGTTTCCAGAAAATTTTTAAGTTTTTGTGTGAATTCAGCCATATTTCTTAAGAATTTATTTTTTTATCAAAAAACATATTTTTAAATTAAATTTGTTAAAATATATATTTTGTATTTCAAACATTTTTTTTCAGGTACGAAATTTAATAATAAATGATATTAGAAAATAATAATTAAAAAGATTAAATAACAATTTATTAATATATTTACTAAATCAAATGTTTAATGTTTAATCAATACATTATAATTTAGTTCAAATGTAATCTATATGTATAAAAAATGTTCAATTATATAATTATTAATCTTTTATTCGTCAAATTTTGACTTAACAATTAAATGTTTCCAGTCAATTATGATTCTTAAATTAAATTCGTAATTATATTTCTTATATTGTTATCAAGTGATAATATCCTAAGCAACTTCCTATGATAATAACTTAAAAGATATTCGCTTAGAATCTTAAACTCTATTGAAAGCAACCATTAAATTTTATTTAGTTGTTTTAATGTTTCCATAACAACTAAATAAAATTTTTATAACTTGGTTTAATAGAAATAGCTAAGAAGTGATCGTCATCATCTGTCATCATTTTCGATATCTTTAAAAATTGGGAATCCAATTAGGCTACAGTAAAGATGCATAACAATTTATTAATATAAAAGTGGATTTATCATAAGCATAACTTTAAAATTAAATATGACTTTTTCTAGAAATTTCTCTTTTAAAATGTTTTAAAAAAGAAAAATTATTAACCATGTACATGATTTTATTTTTTGTAGTAGACTACTACAGAAACCTCTAAAAGGTGACAATAACAGAATTTGTTATGGGAGCCTTAAAAAATCTAGTTAATTCTATAGCCTATTTTTTTACTATTTTTACATATAATAATATATGTAAAAATAGTTAAAATAATTATTATTTTAAATAAAATAGCAATAATATTTAAATCATTTTATTAAAACATATTGTTAAATAAATTATTAAGAAAATATATCTGATAAAACTTCAATTGTTGAAATTCTTGTTTTAATTAATTGCATAATGTTTTCTTATTATCTTGGTATGTTTTAAAAACCATAACCATAAAAATAACCTAAGAAAAAATTCATGTAAAGAAATAAAATGTTATCCCTTCTTAATACAAAATACACGGTATATTTAGAGACTAATGGGATCTAATCCCTTAAGAAATTTGAATAGTCCCTTGAAATAAAAATTAATTTGTATTGCTATTGTATAAGAATCCCATGATGGAAGGTTCGAGACAGCACTGGAAAATACGATTAGAAAATTATGATAATCAATAAAATATGTAATTTCATGCATTTCTTCTTGTTTGGTCCATCACATAAAAAAATGGAAAGAAAAATAACTGAGATATCCATAGAAAGCAGAATAAGACAACCAAGACGATACACATCTTGTCACCGTACTGGTTTCCTTAGTTATGATAAGATTGCATCTAGTTAACACCACAACTGGTGTAAAATTCCATCACATCGTGAAGGCAGAGCATACTCCTAGGCAGTTAGGATGAGACTATTGCGATGATTATGACAAATTAATATAATATAAATCATATATATTTTGATATTTATTAATATATAAGATTTAATAACACAAATCGTATAAAATTGTCTGATAAAACAGAACCAATTGTCACATATGTAGGTATTTAATAGTGCTCAACAACCCCAGTTTTTTATATTGTTTTAAAGGGATAAGCAGAAAAGATTTTGAATCATGTCTTGATAATCGGCATTTATAGATTTTGTAGAAAATCCATGATTTTACCTTAATATACACCTATTTTTAAGAACATATGTGGTATAAATCGCAGTAGTTTGCTCGTAACTAGAACTTAATTAATAGATAATTTGAAATTAGGTAAGATTCCCTAAAGGGATGGTTCACTTCTGCTACTATTTTACATCCAAAAACATAATGAATACTCCTATCAAAAAAATTATTTTTTATTTCAGTTTTGTACTTTCAAACAAGTGATGTATAACTTCATATAGACCAGGGTGATTTCATAAGGGTGTCATACCCCCAAATGTTTATTATATTCATTTGTGGTAGATATTTTTAGAATATATTGTGGACTTTTTTTACTCATCCAGTTAATATAGTCGGCAATTTTATCACTAGCAAATCTAAAAATTCACTCCACATCCCCCTACAAATTATCTCTAAGAACACCTCTACATACAAAATATACATTTCTATTTTACTTTAATGAGTCTAAACCTTAAAATTACCTATATATTTGTTAACTTTACTATTCTTACCTGTATAATAATTATAAAATAGCATACAAATCTAAAATATAACAATGATGTCAGCATATCATGTATTATAGAATGACAACCCTTATGGTAGTATTTATCAATATTAGGTTCATGACAATCAATAAAAGTTCTACAAATAAATGTTGGTCGACAACAAGATATTGGTGCACTTGGAAGAATAAACATCCCATTACTTTGAGTATACCTAATTAATCCTTTGTTAGAGCTTCAATTTTTAAATTTTTACACCAACTTTTACTTTTTTAAAATAGTTAATGATGGTACAGTAGTGGGTGAAACCCATGCAACCTGGAACCAATTTGTACTTTTTGTAACACCACAACAACTGTTTTGTTGTTGGAAATCATCCCAAAATATTTTCCAGTCGGAATTTGAATAGTATCTATTTAAACCAGTATGTAATGTTTCGTTTAAATCTTTTGTAATTGTTTCGACAACATCACACAAACCAAAACTATATCTAGTTAAAAGCAACAGCTCTAATGTTGTAACAAAAATATAAAAATAATCTCTGATATCATATACAAAATAAGTTAACTTCGCTCCTTTGTTGTTACTGAAATGTTAAAATATATTGTTTAATAACAACTGATATTTTAAAATTAATAATTTTATTTTTGATAATTAGTAATGTAAAAATTTATCAGAAAACATTTTCCCAATGAGTAATAAAAAATAATATACATGAATATTTTTCTAGAAAAATATAAAAACACCCTAACAGAAATAAAGTTTTAAAAAATCATGAGATTTTTTATAATAATCATTAATGATTTTTTCATTAATAATAATTAACTGTTATAATGTATATTCGTACTTCATAGTTAAAATACTTAAATAGTTAAAATTTGTAATTCCTTAAAATTAATCTTTAGCTTTAATCTTGGACAAAGTATAAAAAATAAATAAAATTATATACTCTCACAAAGCTACTTTTCTTAATTAAGGAAAAGATGATTAAAAAAATAAAAAATTATTTTGTACAATACAGAGAATAGAGCTAAAAACATTTTATTTCTCAGATAAATTAAAAATATTTTTCCTTGCGTCAAATGTACTTAAATTAGCAAAAAAAAAGGCCGTACAAAATTTAAAATACCAGGGTTACTAAATAAATTACTTTATGTTAGGTCTTAAACTTCCCTTAGCTACCTTCCATTTTTTGGCAATGTTGTAGTGGCAAATTCTACGTTGCATCAATTTTAGTAAATACAGGCCTGTAAGTCATATAATTCTTATTCTAATTATATTAGAATGAAATAATAGTTGAGATATAATCAGGTCTAAATTCATTAATGTAAGTGCCCTGAATTAATTTTATAACCAAAAAAAATTTCAAATATGATTTGGATAATTATTTCATTTTTTTCTTGAGGCTTTCCTAGAGGACTTGTGAAAAAAAATAAGTAGGCCTTAATTTTTTAATGGGCTATAATTAAAACTTATCAAAATTGGGGCTTTATTCACCTTAAAAATTATGTATTATTTCTGAAGGGTAAGATAGCAATCAATTAAACCTGAATTGTTAAGTGTATGATGGTACATAGAAAACCACGTGAATCATTTATTAGTTGGTACCACTGTAAACCCATTGTTTACCAATTTGCATAAGCGCTGCGGTTATCACAATGAATTACCTTTACAATTCACACAGTGTTAATGAGATATCATAGCAAATCACAATTTTTTCACTCATAAAAATAAATAAATTTAGATTGATTCTTAAGATGATGTTATAAATTAATTTTATTATCGACTAGACAGTTTTTTGATAGATGGTATAATATATATATATTTATATTTATAGTTTACTATCATTTTGGGTTTTAACTTTGTTACATCTGGAATACTTCATTGATTGATGCATTTTTGTAGAAAGTAAATATCCATGTACTATGAATGTTTTAGTTTTATAATAAATTAAATTAAAATAGGAAATACATGTTTAAGAATTTTATTTTACTTATTGTAGTAATATTGAATTTATTGGCCTATTTGTAATAAAAAATTTATTTTTGCAATTTAGTTCAACTATATTACTTGTTTATATTATTAAAAAAATAACCAATAGATAAATAATGTATATTTAAAGATTAATTGAAAATATACTCATTAAACAAAATACTTATCAAACATTTTTTTAAATTAATACAAGTTTTTTCAAGGCCATTCTATTATTTTATTATTTGTTTAATACTTTATAGCTTACCAGCTGAACTGACTATTTTTTATTTTTTAGTATTTATAAATATTTAATATATTATACTACTGTTTTTTAATTTTTTATATATATCACAGGCTCCCATATCTCTTCTTCGCTAATTAAACCTACCTCAGTCCTTATTTCCACGTAATATTCGTTAAAACCTTTCTTAAGTACTCCTCATTTAGTAAATTTTCAAAATACTCTTTTCATCCTTTTTTCATATCCTCATCATTTGTTAAGATCATCTTATCATTACATTTTATAACTATACATTTTGAAAATCATTTAACCGTCTTTCTCTAACCTTCACAAACCTATAAATTTCTTTTTAATCTTCCTTATATGTAATTTAACACAAAACACAATTCATCATACTTCTTAAACTTAGTTTTACTTGCTGCACCCAGTGTTTTTTATTTTTAAACATTTACGTACTTTACTTACATACTCTTCCTATTATGCCACAACTCCATTACGAAAAATCTTCTGTTTTGTTACACCATCTCGGGGTTATCTTTACTCTTGAAGTAATTACTTTTACTCACTTCAAAAATAATAAAAGGTTTTGAAAATAATTTTTCAATTATAAAAATGTAACTGATCTATCTTAAATGCATTTAAAGTACATTTTTCTAAAATATTTTTTTACTAAATTACCTGCTTTCATTTACAGGTAAAAATAATTCTATTGATTGTAGAAAAAAATCAATAGAATTATAATATGGCTGATACCAAAAGACCAAATTTAACAGCACTAAATGGCTTGTCTCTAAATTCAGCATTAAAATCAAATCCAGCTAAAAAACTTGTTGTAAAAAATCTGAGGCAAAAACCTATGCTACCTGATAATTATCAAGAACAGACATGGAAAAAACTAAGAGAAGCCGTTATCGCAATTCAAACATCTACTGCTATACGTTACAGCATGGAAGAATTATATCAAGCTGTTGAAAATATGTGTAACAATAATTTAGCAGCAGCCTTATATAATAATCTGGTAGAACTTAGTGAAAGTCATGTAAAAAAACTTTTGCAAAATTTCACTGAGGTTACTAATGATAAAATAATATTTTTGAAAAAAGTTAATCATCATTGGTCTTCTCATTGCAACCAAATGTTAATGATTCGTAGTATATTCTTATACTTAGATCGAACTTATGTACTTCAAAATCCTAATGTCAATTCTATTTGGGATATGGGTTTAAATTTGTTTCGTCATCATATTATGTTAAACACAAATGTACAGAATCGAACAGTTGATGGTTTACTATTATTAATTGAAAAAGAACGGCAAGGAGATATGGTAGATAAAACTTTACTAAAATCATTACTACGTATGCTTTCGGACTTGAAAATATATCAAGATGCTTTTGAAGGTAAGTTCCTTCAGGCTACTGAACGTTTGTATGCAACTGAAGGATTACGTTTGATGCTTGAACTTGAAGTGTCTGAGTATTTATATCATGTTGAAAAAAGACTGAATGAAGAAAATGAGAGGCTTTTACATTACCTTGATTCATCTACAAAATGGTCTTTAATACATACTGTTGAAAAGCAGCTTATTAGTGAACATGTCAGTACCATATTGCAAAAAGGCTTAGAACATTTACTTAATGAAAATAAACTTGATGATTTGAAGTTAATGTATGGATTGTTGACTCGTGTAAAAAAAGGTCTTACAGAACTGTGTTTAAATTTCAATGCTTACATTAAAAAATATGGAAGAACTATAGTCATAGATCCTGAAAAAGATAAAACAATGGTGCAAGAATTGCTAGATTTCAAAGATAAAATGGATATAATTGTTAAAAAATGTTTTCAAGCAAATGAAAAGTTTGGAAATAGTCTCAAAGAAGCATTTGAACATTTTGTTAATCAACGAACTAATAAACCTGCTGAGCTTATAGCAAAGTTTGTTGATTCAAAGCTTAAAGTTGGTAATAAAGAAGCTACCGAAGAAGAACTAGAAAAACTTTTGGATAAAATAATGGTTTTGTTTAGGTTTATTCATGGTAAAGATGTTTTTGAAGCATTTTATAAGAAAGATTTAGCTAAAAGATTACTTCTTGGTAAGTCTGCTAGTGTAGATGCTGAAAAAAGTATGTTGTCTAAATTAAAACAAGAATGTGGTGGTGGATTTACATCTAAATTAGAAGGTATGTTCAAAGATATGGAGTTAAGTAAAGATATTAATATTGCATATAAACAATATTTAGCACATGTCAAAGATGTTCAATTGTCTGGTATTGATATGACAGTTAATATACTTACTATGGGTCATTGGCCAACATACTCAGTCATGGAAGTATCCATGCCTAATGAAATAATTCAATATCAAGACTGCTTTAATAAATTTTATTTAGCTAAACATAATGGTAGAAAGTTACAATGGCAACCAACATTGGGTCACTGTGTTTTACGTTCACACTTCAAACAGGGTAATAAAGAATTACAAGTTAGCTTATTTCAAGCAATGGTACTTTTACTTTTTAATGAGTATCAAACACTTTATTTCAAGGAAATAAAAACAATGACTAATATGGAAGATTCAGAATTAAGACGAACATTGCAATCATTAGCTTGTGGAAAAGCTAGAGTATTATCAAAGTTACCTAAAGGACGTGATGTAGATGATGCAGATCAATTTTTGGTCAATAATGATTTTACAAATAAACTTTATAGAATAAAAATTAATCAGGTTCAAATGAAGGAAACTAATGAAGAACAAAAGTCCACTGAAGAGAGAGTTTATCAAGATCGTCAGTATCAAATGGACGCAGCTATTGTGAGAATTATGAAAATGCGTAAATCTCTTATGCATAATTTATTAATTAGTGAGCTGTTTAATCAATTAAAGTTTCCTGCCAAACCAGCAGACTTGAAAAAACGTATTGAGTCTTTAATTGATCGAGATTATATGGAAAGAGATAAAGATAATCCGAATCAATATAATTATATTGCTTAAATATTTTCTTTATACACAATTTATAATTATAGTAAGCATATCAAAATAATTTGAAAAATATACGTAGATGTAATATATATGTGTATTTTCCTCTTTGTTTTGTTTTATGCTTTATATATATATATATATATTTATAAACAGTGTTGGTTTTTCTTGTATATTTTTTTAAAAATTGATTTGTGTAAATATTTGTTTATAGTTAAAATATATAAGAAACCTTTAATAGTTTGTAATAATAATGCCTAGGTATATTCCTAAAAGTTAGTGATGTGATTGTATGGTTATAAATTAATATGGTTTTACTGAAAGATCATAGTACTTAATATCTTTTCATTATTAATTGTAAATAAATTTAAAATTTTACCTACTGAAAAATTATAATAAATGTGTTATGATATTCTTAAAATAATATAAGGTAACTTTTTTTAAACTATACTATATATGATCTTAGATAAAATTTTTTAGTGATATAAATTTTATAAAAATTAAATAATTGTATTATATTTTCCTAACTTGCTTCAGTTAGTATTTTTACAGTATATAAATTATGGGTATCTGAGACAATCTTAGACGGTGTAAAAATATTTGCATGTAGAATAAAATAAAAAATTTTAAAAATTCACACTAATAATTTTTAAACATTGTAATAACAATTTTTTAGGAATATAAAAAAATTACTTGTTGTGCTCAATAAAAAAAATTCATTAAGTTTAAGTCTCTATATATCAAAATCTATATTTTTAACTCATACATACAATTGTTTAGTGACGAATAATTTGATGGCACGCTATTTTCGAAGGGGCGAAATGGCCACTATGCCATTACAAATGACGTCATTAGACGTAAGGAAATTAAATGTATTGCACAGACTGATTTTTGCCTTTTTAAAATTTATTTCAGATAAAGGTATAAAATTTTTATTTATTTTTGGAGGACTACACCCCAGTCTATTACATATATTGGCATAGTTAATTTGGCTAAAATTCACATATTCAAAAAATGAAATTCAATATTTTAATATCATTTTATGATGTTATTAAATTTAGTTAAGTAGGTGTTCCTATGCTATAAAAACAAATTTCAACGCAAGATGTTAAAAATATTATTTAAAACGTTTTTAATATAATTTAATGGGCCTTTTAATACTAAAACTTGAATTGATTGCATTTAAAGTCAGTTAAAACCTGCATATATAGATGAAAATAAATACTTACCGCATATCGTTATCCTTTAAAGGAATTATATAATTTAAAATTGATACTGATAAAACTAAAAGAGGAATAAAATTTGAATAAAACGTTATGTATCCTATCCATTTTCGAATTGGGTAAACAAGTTGCTTCTTCATGTTAACTGTATGAAAATTTATCAATATTAGGACAATAGCTGACAAACATCTTAATAGGGTAATAATTATTTTAGCTTTCGAATATAGGGATTTATTCATATTTTAGTGACTTTGCTAAAAATTTTAATGAAATTTTTACCACTCGATTCATAATTAGTATATATAAAATAAAACAAGTTAATTATTAAATATTATTTCCAGAGTTATATGAAATTATAAAAGTAAATAATACACTATAAAATAAATAAATACAACTATGATTTATAAGCATTATAAAAATATTTTTAACAATATATTTGTTGTGTGTTTTCGAATTAATACATTTTTGTAAAAACATTTATAATATATAGTCATATAGTTATATGTTGTCATACATAATATTGTATAATATTTTGAATAAAATAATATTATTTTACTAAAAATTACATGAATAAACAATAGTGTTCAGGGACATTATATAGAAATATAAACTAATAAAATTTAAATTAATGCTAGTAGTCATGTAACTAGGATTTTTCACTGAGAGAATCTAATATTACCATAATGTTTGTTATTTTTTAATCGCAATATAGGTTAGATAATTTTAATAAATGATCAAATAATTCCCCAATAGTTTAGTTCATTTTTTTGTAAAATATGAAATATTTTATAAAAGGGAACTAATGCATTTTGTTATAACGTTAAAAAACCTTGAAATATCTAGGGTTTCCTAAAGTATATATATATATATATATTTAAAAACAAAAACAATAGCGTGTTTATATCAATTTAACTTTATTAAATATCTATATGTATACTATATTTCTTATGCACAATTCTAAAGTTAATTAATTTTAAATAAATAAATACTAATCTATGTATATATTTCTATCTATCGTACTCAATTCAAGTACCTACAGCATAAATAATTAAAAATAAATATTATATAAGTATGTAAATAAAAATTGGAAAAACGTATACCATAATTCAATTCCCTTAGTTACAGCTGATGTAAGATTTGCATATGAATATTTTTGATATTTATATTTTATTAATTTTTGAATTACCTATTGATAAATGTTTGGAGTTAGTTATTTTAAGAATTGGATAGAACATTTGATGATTCCTGATTTAACTTAATAATCGTTATACTAATATATAATTAGGATAATAAAGATAAAATTTTTTTTTTAAGATTATCAAAATGAATAAGTAAATCTTCGTTAAACGTTTAGACGAATTTTGTCTCGATACTGTCAAGATTGATTCTAGTAAAACTCTTAGTATAACTGAATGTTGAAGTAGTAGCTTAAGCTAATGGTTAAATGTTGTTTTTATTATATCACCATAGAAACCGACTATACACTTTCACCTGACCAATCTACAGCAGGTGCGTGCCCCTCCAAAAAAAACCGTTGTGCTTGGTCCTGATGTATGTTTGTGTCCCGCCCGTCCACGCACCTAGAATTTTATATTCCACAGAATGTGAAGCATAAATGGGACTGCGGTTGTGAGCATATACCTACGCTGTGTGGACGATACACAATTGCTTTATTATATACTACCGTAGTATTATGTAAACTATGCATACCTGACGGTGATATGCACGCGTAGTCTTTGGTCGTCAGAACAGATAATTTTTGGAGTGCGCGTGTTGTGTTGATACAGTCATGAAGAGGACGTTAAAAAGAATAATCGTTATATTGTCTGTGTTGTGAAAACTTAAGTCTGCTCTTGTAAATGTGCGATTGTCTTGTATTAGTGTCGTAGTGTATCAAAAGTTACTAAAAAAAAGAATATGATGAACAACCCGTATGCGCGACCAACAGTGCAACCGCATATAGAAGACCTACCATCTGACTGTGGGTGAGTAAAGTTTTAAAATAGCTTTATGGCGAAAGTTCATTAAATTTCGTCATATATATATATATATTATTTATTATCAAAAGATCTAAATGGCGCTATCATTAAAATGATTAGACATTATAAGATAATAATCATTAGTCTTTTAAAAAAGTCTTAAATAATGTTCTTTGGCTTGAGTTAAATAGACTTATTTCTCAAAAACATCGACCAATGTACCATTACTATTCATTAATACACACCTAACTGCACTTAGCTATACATGGTTAGCTTTAAAGGAGTGGTCATTCAATATTATTTATAAATAATAACACAATAACTATATTTCATTTATATCAAATTTAGTTTATTGTACTTTACTTATCATTAATCTGATTTAATATAATGTAAACTTCAATTGTAGTATTTGACAAAGTAAAACTGTTACCATAATAAATATTTGCCCAGGCTTACAATATAGTATCCACATTTTTAATAAAATTTATTAAAAACATTATATCAATTACCGGACCGATTTCTTTCAACGATACGCCAAAAGATCACAAATCGTATATAGTTGAAGACATTGCCTTTAAAAATTGAAAAAAATTCCTTCGTTCTTTAAAAATCCCCCAAAAATTGCAATTTTTATAATCGATAAATTTTGACATTTTTATATCTTAAAACTGCCATTACTTTTTCAAAAATTAATAAATCAAAATAATTTTTTTTTACACAAATACCTTAAATATTACTCTTTCATTTGCTATAATTTTTTTTGAAAACCTGACCTTTTAACCTGTCTACAAGGGTGGATTAAATATAGCCAATTTTTTACCAAAGTCAATTTTTCAACTTAACTTTTGAAAATACTCCGGAAATACTGCGTTCTTTAAATATATGTTAATTTAAAGCTTATGTTACATACTATAAATTAAAAAAAAATTTGTCCCGATGACCTATCTTCTATGTGCAAATGGCCGTCGAAGTTGAAGAAATTTATTAAATATTTTATAAATAAATTTAATTTTATTAAATATTTATTCATATATGTTATACTTATATATCATAAAACTTGTATTTAGGATAAAAACAAGAAAATAGGAGTTCATTTTGCTTTTGAAATAATTCATCAATTTCTTAAAATTAAACGCTATCTACAGATATATATTGATGCGCTTCTTATGATAGTGATTTTGATCACTGTCAGATATCATCTATAATTGTCCCAACTATGCCACGTCCATACTATGCTACCGTTATTTTATATTTATATACAGTAAAATATAAAATTTCATGCTAAAAAGTTGTCATTGTAATGGTACAGAATTATTTAAACATACAACTCTGAAATTTTGCAAGGATTTTTTGTTTTTGGAAAACAATAATTGTAAAAATATCATATTTTTATAAAAAGAAAACTTTAGAACATTGGGGTCACGACACAGTATGAACGTGGAATAGTTGGGGACTAGTATAGATAATATCTGACAGTGATCAAAATCACTATCGTAAGAAACGTTTCGATGCAAATCTGTAGATAATGATAGACACTTCTATCACTTCTAATTTTTGATATTATTACAAATTAGTAAAAAATGAAAGAATAATATTTTAGATGTTTATGTAAAAAAAAATTATTTTGATTTATTCATTTTTGAAAAATTTATAGTAGTTTTAAGATAAAAAAATGTCAAAATTTACCGATTTTAAAAATTGTAATGTTTTGGGGATTTCCTCCGTTTTTAAAGAACGAGGGAAATTTTTTCAATTTTTAAGGGCAATATCTTCATCTAGATATGATTTGTGATCTTTTGACGTATCGTTGAAAGAAATCGGTCTGGTGAAAGTTGAGAAAAAGTGGTAACAGACGAAAATAAAACACATCATAGTAAAATAAATACCTTCTAAGCTTCGCATCGTAGCTAAAAGTAAAAAAAAAATTCAAGTTGAATTAAATTTGGTCTGCTTGACTGTCTTTATTAGTATTTTCCGCCTTGTGTAGCTTAAAATTTTTTTATGGGGACTATAGTCCCATAATCTTTTTCATAAATAAAATAGATATAATGGGAAGTCCTCTGTCATATTTCTTTGTCTTCTGTCTTTTCTTTTTAAATTACAGTACTTTTGTAGGAACTTTGAACGTTTATGGTGACTTAAGCCCTCGTAAACATCATAAATTTACGCTAAGGAGTATAACAAGAATTTTACTCAAGTACATTAATTTTTTTTTTTTCTTGTTGAAGACAAGACTCCCATCTCCCACTAAATATGTCGCTTAATAATGTAGTTATAGTAAAGTCAATTAAGTAATTAGATATAAGTACTTTGTATAATAAAAAATGAAAATTCTTGCTTTTGTTTAGCAATATTGAGAATTTTCCCTCTAATTTTTCTATTGAAATGAACTAAGAATATACTTTTTATTTTTCTTCATATTATGTATTTTTGGGTTTTATAGATATTTGTTAGTACCTCAAAGAACTATTGAAGTACGTTCAAAATCCAATCTGAAATCCAATTCTTGGAAATATGTTTAAATCATTTTTTATATCAATTTGATACTGGAAAGTGTATTTTCTATAAAGATTATCATGTTTTTATTAATATAATACCCCTTATTAATTAAATATTAAAGCGTATATTAACGTATTTTTAAAATGATATTATGCAATCTTAAGCATTATTTTTACAAGAAAAAAAAATGTATTAATTGAACAAAAATGCCTACAAAGATTAAGTTTACAATAAGCAGGTTAACCGTTTTAATATAACTTTAGTGAGAATAAAAAAATCTTTATATTCACTTACATAAGTCGGGTTTATAACTTATTTAATTACCCTAATAAGATGAACCCACTACGACTTTCTCGGCTTGATTGTAAATTACATTGAAAATTATCTTGGACTGGAGTCTACTTTGATTTGTCCAACTGATCCGTCCCTCATTATACAATGTCGACTTATTAAGTTACTGTCAGTAAATTTTAATAGGTGTAACTAACGTTACACCTGTCTTGCTATATATCTTGTTTAAAGGTCCAAATTGTTTTTTACAATATTAATTGTGTGTCTGAATGAAAAAATTTCTCTATATTTGTTGTATGCAAGGTGTCAAAATCTATTTTAACCTTTTCAAAATGATCAAGATTTGTATTAACTAAATTGTTTCACACGTATATCGTATTACCCAGACAATGGCACTCTTTTTTTACCATATTTGATATTTTGTCATACAAATGTCAGTGGTGGTTGAAAATAATTTGAACTATGCTTATTTGTAAAACTAACAGACGGTTGTAAAATAATAATGACCATTGCGTAACTATCAAATATAAATATATTTTCAAATTAAAAAAGTATTGTCGAATTGTATAATTTGTTAAAACGTCATCAGGTATATCCATTAAAATTAACGATGATGTAAAATAAATTAATATTTTTTTCTAAGGGAAGGAAATAAATGNATTTCACACGTATATCGTATTACCCAGACAATGGCACTCTTTTTTTACCATATTTGATATTTGTTCATACAAATGTCAGTGGTGGTTGAAAATAATTTGAACTATGCTTATTTGTAAAACTAACAGACGGTTGTAAAATAATAATGACCATTGCGTAACTATCAAATATAAATATATTTTCAAATTAAAAAAGTATTGTCGAATTGTATAATTTGTTAAAACGTCATCAGGTATATCCATTAAAATTAACGATGATGTAAAATAAATTAATATTTTTTTCTAAGGGAAGGAAATAAATGAGGTTTTTAAAAATATTTTATATCTTTGGTTAAACAAATCTAAAATGAGTCTACGCTGCATAAATTTACAAAGAACGCTTACAGTAAACAAACAGTATAATAGTGGTTGTTTTAGTTAAATTTTAAACGATAATTCCATAAAACATGCAGTTCATTAAAAACCATTCATCAGGCTGTATTTATGTACTCACACTCATATGGTTGCATATGCGCGTAGACGTATATTATGTTAGCGTTACAACCAACTATGATATACCAAATTCAAGTCACATATAACATCGAGTGTAAATCTGCTTTGTTTTGATAGTAAACGGAAGTTGCAATAAACAAATTTTACCAGACACTGAATGACCTTCATTTTTATTCATTAACATTTCCGATTCTTCTGAAATGAGAGATCAAAATACAATTCATCATTTTGTAATGTGAATTAATCACTATGTTGGGTTTTTTTTGTGACATGGTAAACTACTACTACATAGTTTTAAATAGTCAAATTTATTCAGTTTTTTTTGGGGGTACAGTTCCTCAAACTTCACACGCACATATTATATATTAAATAAATTTAATCTAAAAAAATAAAACATATTTTAAAGACAAACTAGACCTAGTCGAGGAAGGCTAGAGAGGCAATAGTCCCTTATGACTCTGGTGTTAGCACAAATATATAGATATACAAAAAAGTCTTTAAATCCCTTAAAAATAAATCCTACCTATAAAACATTGATGATATAGTAACTTTATTACAACCGATCATTTCCTTTTCTTTTTAATTATACATATTTTTAGTATTAGATTTTTAATAATTTAAAAAGATGAATTAAAATATGTTACTGTGTATTATTATATAAGTAAAATAAAATATTATTTATTTTTAATACAATAATACTTTAAAATGTTAGATTTAATTATCTAATTAATTCAATTGAATCAAAAAGTATAAATACATACACGGAATAATATATTTTATCGTTATAGTTAACATATAGACAACATAAAGAATTATCGTAAATAGTTTGAAAAACTATCGTACATAATTAGAATTACTGAATATATTTAGTTTAATGTTGGTTGAACTATATAAGATAGCTCTTATAACTATATAACTAAGTTATAAATATATTAACAATAAAGTAAAATTAAAACTATATTAAAAATATTATTAATTTAAAAAAAACTAAAAAATATTAAAAATATTAAACTCAAAAGCCACAAAAAAATTAATGAAAAGTCGCGGATACGTATTTCGGAAACAATGTTACCATTATCAACGCTAAACACATACTCACATACATTGTTTCCGAAATACGTATCCGCGACTTTTCATTAATTTTTTTGTGGCTTTTGAGTTTAATATTTTTAATATTTTTTAGTTTTTTTTAAATTAATAATATTTTTAATATAGTTTTAATTTTACTTAATTAATAGCCACAAGTGATCAATTTTTATTATATATTAACAATAGTTTGGATTGGCTCAACTATATAGTTTTTCTTGTAAAACTTATGTGTAAATAGGTAATAATAATAAAAAGAATCAAATATTTAGTATATTATTTAGTTTCTATTCTTTTGATTATACAAAAGTATATAATTTGAGAATATATTGCGACTCTTAATTAGGATACGCTAAGTAATATTTTAATATTGTGCTATCATTATATTAATTTAAATGTAAAATTGAATCCATGGTCCCCACACAAATTTGTCCAATGAGCCTATTATCTTTTCAAAGTAATAAAAATAAAAAATACAATTAATTTGTTAGAATCTAACCATGTTTGGTATGAAGAATCAGATAAATAAAAAGCTTGATGAATACAATTTTACTTTAAAAATAATTTATTTATTTAGTATTTTATTTATTACAGATTACAATGGTTAGGATTTTCTTTGTGTCGCTCTTGGATAAGATGTGCTACTGTTGGAAAATTTTTACTTACCATAAGTGTGTTCGTATTTTTGCAAATGGCATCTCAGAAATTTTTTTTGTCGACTTTAGAATCTAAAAATTATAATATACCTAAAGATATTTCAAGTAAGTATTTACGCATAAGCAAAAATGTTAGCACTGTATAGATTATGGATATTAAATATATTTTTTAATGAATTTATATATTTCCGTAGATTGGTTGTGGCTTTTCAGTGGAATTGTCCATTTACTTTTATCAACATTTATCGGTTACCGAGGAGGTAAACGCAATAAATGTAAATGGATTGCATTTTTTGGAATATTACAAGGAGTTTTAGCAGTTTTACTTGCTATAATTAGTGCTTCTGAACATTATGAAATGCAACGTCCATCGGCTTTAGTTTTAGCAACATCAGGTAAGTTATTGTAAAGCTTTTTTGTCACGAACATTTTAAAATAAAATTAAAAAATATAAAATATAACCATCTTTCTTGGTTAATTTAGACACACCGCTTTGTGATGAAATTTTCATTCCAAGAAATAAAGAACATTATGTTCAATTTCATTGGGTCAAAATCATAGTCTTATTTATTCTTCAAGCCAGTATGTCTCTTGGGAGTACTGCCTTATTAGCACTTGGTTTAGGTTTGCTTGATGAATCAGTTTCTCCCACAAAAAGTCCTGCTTGTATTGGAGTTGTTATTGGATCATCTCTTATGGGATTTCAGGCGGGTTTAATGATTAGCAAGTATGCCATCCACGTAAGCGCTGTATCTAATCTTGCTGGAGATATTGCTTGGATATGTAAGATAATTAAACAAATTAAATTAAATTAAAAAATTAATAATATCTAATTTTAATCAAATTACATTTTTTTAAGCTATTGGTTTGTGTTTAATCGTTGTATCCATTATTATTGCTTTATTTCCAAGTAGATTGATTACTAGTAGATCGGCATCATTGATACGTAATAGTTTAATTTACAGAAACAATAGATATGGTATGTATTATAATATATTTTTGCTTACAGAAAAAATTATAAATTACATTCAATAATATAGATTTCAGAAGTACCCTTGGTAGAATTTTTGAAAGCAAGTTGATCATGACTAATATAATTGCTATAGCATGTGTTTATACAGTGCTAATAAATACAATTTATGAAGAGCCAAATTATATGGAATCAGTATTTTTTGTACAAAAACATACATTTGATATGACTGACCAAAACACTGTTATTATTGGTAAATATTTATTATTAATTTCAACTTAAATAGTGCATAATATTTTCTCATAAATTAAAATGATAGAACTAGCATTCCCATCCACGCAAAAATAGTTTAACTTAGTTAAAAATTTAAAGTTAATTTCTTTTAAATTTTTCAATTTTACTATTAAATTATTTTTTTAATTAATATTTAAGCTCGACTAATTTAATTAATTGATGAAATAACTTAGTTTTTTCAGTTAATTAGATAATAATAATCAAGCTAAATTCAAAATTTAATAAAAAGTTTTTGTCTTAATACTCTGCGTACGTAATTTAAATTAAAAAAATTATTTATACTAATAAATAATTAGTTAGGCTGCAAAACAAATAAAAATAATTTTTGTTACTACTAATATTTTTCTTCTTATTCCGTTTTAAAAGTTGAAAATCATTTTTTAGCCTTCTCAGCATCACCAACCAATAAAAAATCGATTTTTGATTAATAATAATATAGTTATTAAAAGAATAATATACAATTCGACTAAAAACAATATATAAGGACCAAAAGATTAAATAGAATTTTTTCAGACTGGCTTAAGTTGAAAACAATCTTTAATTTAACTTGCTTAAATTTATAATTTGTTAACTCTTAACTGTATACTTATTAACATTGTTCCTCATTAGCTTAACTGAACTTGAGTTAACTATTTCCATTAACTTGTCTATCTTTCCATATGTATCTGTATAATAACGTTTTTATTTTAAGATTTACTGAGATATCCTCTTGCGGCATTATGTATTTTCTTATCTGGAGTACTAATATGCGTAGCTCAACCTAGACCAACATTACTGGCTGCCTGGAATATTGGAATTATATGTGTAGTGACTATTTTAGCATTCTCTAGTATGTTCTTACGCTGTTCTAAAATACAAGTACACAATCAATTAGTTCACAAGTATAATAATAATAATTTAGAATATATGAATTGAAATTATTTTTAATGAGAGTTATGTTTTAACAGGCAAGTACTAAATGATCATTGTAATCGAGATTGTAATTGTCCCCAAAATATAGCATTCGATCCTGTATGCTCGTCTAATGGTCATATAGTGTATTATTCTCCATGTCACGCAGGATGCAGAACTCAAGATTTGTACTCTAGACAAGTATGTGAAATTTCGATTTTATCATTAAAAAATATTCACACTGCCATAATAAAATACAAAAAAAAATATTTTCCCCTCAGTATTAAATTATTATTTTTGTTTTATTGGTATAAAGTGCCTAAATGAAAAATCTTCATTTAAAACTGGAATTCCTCTATCTCGTGTTCAAAAGTGCGTCCAAGAATATCTTTTTTAAGCTTTCTCAACTATAATTCTGTTATTACCTTTGAGACAGCTTATATAAAAGATCTAAGTACACTTTTATATTTTATACAAATTATTAATGTCTCAATTTTTCATTTACTATAAGTTTTTTTAAACAAAAAAGTCATAGTGTTCACAAAAGCTATTTTAAGCCCTAGATGCTGATTAGAAAAAAATTTTTCTTTATTTTTTTTTGGTAAACATCAAGATAAAAAAGTATTTATATTTGTTTTAGGAGTATGTGAATTGTAAATGTATGGGTACTGAATCGGCGAGTAAAAGAGCCTGTTATGATCAGAACTGCCAACAGATGAATGTCGGTTATCAATCAATATCTGTTCTAATATTATCACTTTTAGGAACATGCATTGTGGGTACTGTTATTCTTCTTTTAAGGTAATTAACATAATAGTTAATCATTTTCAAGAATAATAAATATTTTTTATACTATAGTAATTCTCGCTGAAAAATTGCTAATTATAATTTTAATAATTCTATATAATTATCAATCAATAAATAATGAATTGGTTGCAAGGATGGCGCTAGAAATCGCGAGTATTTACGTAAAAACAATTTTTTTTTTATCATTAACTGTGTTTTTGGGACCTTGAGGGTAGTTTACTTCGCACACATCTATACCTGGATAGTTTGTATTTGAGCATTAACGTATTATTTCATTTTTTTCATATCTGAAAGAAAAGAAAAAGTATATTATGTCCTTTTGGCTGGTTCTTTCTTATTTTGCATTAAAAGGAATTTTAATTAATTGGAACCTGGTAAACTAAAAAATATGAAGACATAAAAACTTACGTTGCTATCAGATAGTAAAATCGTACTAGTTTATGCACCCTTAGGAGTTAGTTACTTATCCTGATTTTTTTAATGGTTAGTAAAATTAAGTTCTGTATTAGCAAGTTTGTTCAATGCTAAACTGAGAAGGTATTGATTTTACCTTAATGTGCGTTTTTTAAATTTTCCATGAAAATTTTTAGCTCTTACTGGATTGATTATGTTGGCTTATGCTTAAAAAGAACCCTATTATAATCTAGGTGAATCAATCAGCACCAAAAATTAAAAAAAAACGCTCGATTTTATCAATTTAAAAATATATTTCAAAATTACGCTACCGTAAAAAATGGCATTTCCAACAAATTTTCTCTGCATTTAAATACAATTTTTTTAAAAATTGTTCAATGAAATTCAATGAAATTTTAATAGAATGTACTAGAAACAATGAACTCTCTTTTAGTATACTTTATATAAAAGTGTGATGAAAAACCTAATTACAGGAATTGTTGAAAAGAGGTAAACTACACATGTAAAAATATTTTTTTCAATTCGACTTTTCAAAATGTTTGGGAGCATTTGTCAATTTTTAACCTATATCAAATTAAAGCTTTTGAAGTGTACTACAATATAGAAAAAAAAAATTTCACGACGATTGTTGCACTATGTGAAATCAGACGTCAAAGCAAATAATTGAACAAGTATTTTATATTCGAGTGAACTTTTAAATTATTGAAATTTTAAAATAAAAAATATACCAATTATGAAATCTAGTAGATTCGCATCAAAGCATTTTTTATTATAGTAATGTTAATCATTGTCAAATATCAATTATTCTTTTTCCAACTATGCCATGGCCCTGATGTGCTGTTTTTTTAAATTTTTTGCTAATCAAAAAGTCTGTTTTAATTAGTTATTTAATTGTATATAAATGCAACTTATTTATGTTTACAACTCCCTCAGTAAGAAAATACCCGTGTCTACTACCTTTTGAAAATTTACTTAAAACGTTTAAAAATTATACAAATTACATTTTTTTCAAATTAATATTAAGCAATATCAACATCAAAATTTAATTATGATAATTAAGGATGTAGTTTTATTTAATGGCGTTTTATTTATAATTATCATTATTACAAACTAAACCTCATTTTAATTTTACCAAATACGTATGTATATAGGAGTACAGAACCAGATGATCGAACCACACTTTTGGGATTTACCGTAACTATTACCTGTTTAATTGGTCATGTACCTGGAAAATTTATTTATATTTGTGTGGCACGTAAGTTTCACTAAATAGCAAAAATGCAGCTTATTGTAATTTGATATTTTTTTTTTGACGCTGGATTGCATTTTTAGGTTTAACTTGTATTTTGTATGATGACAATGATCAATGTCGTTTAAATGGTTCTGCCACATTCTCAACATATTTAAGTCTATCAAATATTAGTGAGTCAAAATTAATTATTAAATAATTTTAGTTTGTATATTGTGTGGTTAAATAATAATTTTGAATGGTATTAGGTATACTCATGACTGCTGCAGCACTTTATTCGTGTGTTTGTTTACTATCAAAGCACTTACAGCCATATGGAGGAAATGACGCTATGAAAAAATCTATTATAAGTTCTGTGTCAAGCCCTTTAAGTCCATTAACACCACCTGGATTTGAGGGACGTGTTTCCATTCCAACAAGAAAGCCGCCAAAGAGAAGACCTTCAGATTTACAATTTTCTGAGGACAACACAAATATTGATTTTATGAGACATACTGATGATTACTCACCCAGAAGTCCTGGTACAACACTAAGGGAAGGTGGTGTTTTAACTACATTATTGTAATTAAAAATAAATTAAATTCCTATTAGGTATATTTTATTAAAACTGGGAAAGTTAATACTGTTTTTAACTCGTTAAAGTTAAGTTAACTTTGTTATGTTAAAAGTATCTAAAAAAAAATTAACTTTATTTTTATATTGTTATAATACATTTTAATTTAATACCTACGGTATTAAGTTTAAAAAAGTAACTAGTTAAATTAAAAGTTAAATCCACCAAAATTGTAATAAGTTACCTAACTTAATAAAATTAACATAACATTTCAACTAAACTTTAGCGTGTTAAAGCCCATTTTATAATTTAAGTGTATAATTACAAAGTAAATCAAATTGAGTGCCTTATAAAATATTTATACTACAAATAAATCAAAATATAAAACAGCCATTTCTAATTCTAGAAAATTATAATCACTTAACTTTTTCTATATAATGAAAATAAAATAAATAACAAAAATTAAAAAAATTTTTCATTCAAAACATTCCGAAAATAACTATTTGTAACTTTAAATCAATTTCATGGTTTTAGAAATTGAAAATTTGTTATTTAAATTATTTGAAAAAATAAGATAACTTTTAAAAGATAACTCGTTAAAAGAGAACTTTTATTTTTTTATTTAGGTTGACATAAATTTTTTTTAATCAATTTAATTATTATGCAATTTTAAAAATTTAGAAAAACTTAATTTTTTTATATGCATATGTTTCATTTATATTTAGTAAAGATTTAAATGCTTTTCTGGTAATGGTTCAAATTGTTAATAATTTTGATTTTGAATCTCAAGAATCATTTCTTTTAAATTGATTATTTCTACTTTATGATTTGATTTTGAATTTTTAAGTTAAGGCAGCTAATGTGCAATAATTTAAAGGTATCGATTTTGTACCAATTCTTATTTAATTGTAGTAAAGTCTAGTTGATCATTTTATATATATTTTTTTAATGATTATAATTATAAATCAAGAGTATTTAAGTTAACTTAAAAAAACTGTTATTTAACAATGCAGTATTTATTTCGTTTTTTATTTTTTGATTGCAATAATTTTATATATACTTTAATTGTTACTTTTGTTTCATATTTTAATATTTTTATCGGATACTTTATTATTTATATTTACTTCAATACTTATGTTAACAAAAAATTGCTTAACTTTATTACAGGTATTCAATATTTTTAATTTTTAAATAAATCAAAACCTACTTTACGTAGTATAATTTTTAGTCTAGTCATCCGCATACAGGAATCTCTAATTAAAAATTAAGTAATATTTTTATAAAGTGATTAGTGAATTTTCATTTAAAACATAATATATTATTTAATCTTTACAATTCGAACTACCTTTAATTTGAAATATTCATTCATTAAAATTTTTCATTATTTTGCTCCGAAAAAAATTTATTTAACACGTGTATTCATAATCCTTAATCCATAACTTAAAAAGTCTTCAGAATCAACTATTTTAACTCTACCTTGACTTTATGTAATTTATTATTAATTATTATGTATTTGAACGGTGTTTTTATTTTAGTACCTCCATTTTTATTAAATTATATTTTTAATACGCCGTCTATTTATACAATAAATTTAATTATGATCATATGAATTTGTTGAACATTTGATATCAAAGTAAACATGTATTCTATTTAGTTAATATAATTATTTTATTGTACATGTTATAACCTATTTAAAATTTGTTGTATATGAATAAACAAGATGTATTCAACAATCGTGAATAATAAAAATAAATTGGTTAATCACATGTTTGTACAATTATTTTTTGATAATAATGAATATTATTCATATAATATGATAATAATGTTATAATTATTTATAAATTCGATTCTAATAAGTTTTGATTAGTCTTATTTTAAATTTACATGTACAGATAAATTACTATTTAATTTAAAGGCTAATAACTTATGGAAAATAAGCCATCAAGAAGTCTTCCTTTTTAAACTATATAGTACATTAAAAAAACTATAATTTGATTTAGTTTATAATGATGTAGATGTTCCGCAGTTAGATAACGGGCAACATATTATAGCTTTAATGTAATGTAGGTTTTAAAAACACAAATATATGGAACATTACCAGAAAGAGAAAAGAAAAAAAATTTGATGAGATTTATAAGCTCCCACATTACCTTGGTTAATGATTGGATTTTCAAAAAAAAAAGAATCTCGTTGGTTATGTAAATGTTTGCCAATAAATATTTCGAAATGACATTTTTATAAGTTATACGCGTCATTTCAATATAAAATAAGAACCAAAAATATCAACATTGACTGTTGTATTGTGACAATCAAAATTTTTTTGGACATTTTTTTTATTATGTGAATTGAAAAAAATTGTTCAAAATGATGGCATTAATATTTTCAACTGCGTACGTTTTGATTTTTGACATATCATTGTGTAAATTTGGTGCAGTAGAAGCGGAGTAGATGTGTACTAAAGAAAAAAAACATGGCAAAGTAAAACCAATAGGTTCTCAGTTAATACTAAGTATAATATAAAAATTTAATGTTATGTAAAGTAGGAATTTTTATCTATTTTACCTCTACACACAGTAAAGTTAAACCAATTTTTAGGTTTCTAGTTACGCATCGAAGATAAATAAATGACGTTTGATCGCCGTATAAAAAAAAAAGCCATCAATCAACAATTCACAATAAATAACAAATCGTTCTAGATTTAGATATATTTCATAGATATATCATGTACATTGTATAGTATATTGATATTTTATAGGTATAAATGTGCAATTATTTGTAATTGTTCTATGGCTAAATAATCAATAACATCAATAGCCCTAATTCATTCATAATTTTTATCAAGACCTAATTGATTTATGTCTATCCATACTTAACAATTCGATAATTTATTTTTTTTAATTTTCATTAATTGGTTTCGTGTTAATGCTGTGGTATACGATCTTGAAGAAAATAGATAACGAATTAGTCAAGAGCATGACCTACGTAAACGGTCCGTAAATTTATGATCGGATGTTACGGCCAAGTCCAACAGTGGGACCAGACGATTGCAGCCAGTAGTTATTATAAGTGTGTAGCGTACGTCACGCGGATAATCTATTTAGACCACAGCCGAGTGCAGCAAAATCTAATAGCCAACAACTACGGTGGACCTACTCGTAGTGTCCGCGGCCGTTGTTTTCATTCTCGTGCAACATTACAAGCGTTCCGGCCGGATCTATTACCACTTTTTTCTTTTTTTTTTTTTTTTTCCCCCGGTCGACGATATTCACATATCACTTGTACGCACGTGATAGTACTAAACACTCGCCAAACGATCCGCTAACGACACAATACCCGCAGCTTTTATATAGACATTACGCGGTGTTGAATATAAAAATAATATAACACTGTTGCGCTCGAGTAAACGGCTGGCCGAGGTGACGAAGCGACAAAGTAGTGCTTACGATATACACACGAGTCACACGCTATTCAGATACGCCGTGACTGTCGTCTGCGCCGGTTAGGGTGTCCGATAACCAGTGAAAAGCGTCGACAACACGTCTGCCAGAGAAAAGCAACACATACGATATGACAACGAGTGAGTAAAAATACTCTATTTTTAATGATTTAAATACTGTCATTTTATGAGATTTATTTTCTATTTTCGATTATCATTTGCGGAAATACCCTAAATTCAAGCAAAATAAAATTAATATATTCCAATTTAAACGAGATTTATTTTCTTTATAATGTCAGTCTAAAATAGAAACTTGCTTGATAATATGATGCTAATGAGTTTTAGGAAATTTAGGTTTCGTGATTAAGGTATTATTCAAAACGTGTCCCTTTATTATTTAGATGATAAACATTTGGTTGATTTATTAGTAAATTCTAAATTTCAATGAATTTATGAAAATAATCATCCATTTCGTTTTCGAAAAATGTTTTAGTTCTATTTTCATGTTGAATTAATAGTTGTTGAGTTTATAACATACATCTTAGAGATAACCTCTTGATATTCTAGTCTAAAAAGCTAGAAAATTCGTTTCTTAACAGTCATAGGATGAAATTTAAATTAATTAAGAAATATTATAAAATTACCTAAATAAAAATTTTAATGATCATAATATTGACTTTGTTTTCACTTCGTTTTTCAAAAATTGATGTTTATTAGAATAATTTATGTGCATTATTAAAAAAAAAGAACGATAACATACCCAACATGGTATGCTAATAATATTAGTACAGGAAAGAAAATATTATTATAATTTCTATCTTAAATTAATCGAATAACCTAAACATCATTTTTAGGATTAATATAACTAAATTTTTGGATTAAATGTTTTAGAATGTTTAAATTAACAATAATAATTAATAATCTAACATTTAATCAAAAAACCGTATCTGTATCTAAACCAACAATAAGATAAAATTTTACCGTATAAAAGATCATTCGGAAAATAAAGACTTATGAACTAGCTCTTCATTACGTACAAAAGCCAATTAAATTTTTTTTCATTATAATAATAGTTAATTATTTGATTCATTAAAACTATTTCTTCAAATAAAAATACCCAAATTTTAAAATTAAGTAGTTTGTCGTAAAATTTTTGAGGGATATTGTAGAATTATTAGATCATGATTAATTGGCCCCTTAAATTTAGTCATAACATATATGAAAAACCCAGCACAGGAGGGTTGTGGCACAGTGGTGACGTGTCATAGTTGGGACAAGTATAATTATATCTGACAGTGTTAAAATCACTATCATAAAAAACGCTTAGATGCAAAACTGTAGACAGTGTTTAATTTTTAAAATTTGATGGATTATTCCAAAAGCTACTTGATCTTCTGTTTCCTTATTTATATCCTGATTAAAAGTTATATGATTTATAAGTGTAATATATGAATAAATATATATATATTTATAATATATAAATATATAAAGGAAAATGGTTTTATTTAAAAAAAAGTATGTCAAATAAAAGAGGCTTTAAATAGTATTTATCATAAAAATATTGCATTGATCCATATATTCTTCAACAATTTATAGCATTATAAAATTAAAAATATAAAAAAGAATTTTTTTACAAAAATCTTATTTCTTTATTAACTTTGATGTTAGTTTTTATCATGAAAACAAACGAAAGTCCGAAATTTTTTTTTCCATAATAAAGCATTTACATAAGCTTTAATTTAAGATATATATAAAAGTATCAGTATTTCCGGAACACTTTCAAAAGTTAAGTTGAAAAAGTTCATTTTTTGTGAAAAAGTTGTCATTTTTAATCCCCCTGTGGGCAGGTAAAGGGTCAAATTTATAAAAAAAATATATATCAAATGATAGGTAAGAACATTATGCATTTATAAAAAAAATTATATTGATTTGGTCTTTTTTGAAATAGTTATGGCAGTTTTAAGTAAAAAAAAAAAAATTGAAAAAATTTGAAAATTAGCGATTTTTAAATTGGTAATTTTTTTGGAGTTTTCCCTCATTTACGGGAACGAGGGAAATTTATTCAATTTTTGAGGGTAATTTTTTTGACTAGATACAATTTGTGATCTTTTGATTGACGTATCTTTGAAAGAAATGGGTTCGGTGAAAGTTGAGAAAAAGTGGTAACAGATGAAAAAAAAACACATCATAGTAAAAGTAATACCTTGTCAGCCTCGCATCAAAGCTTAATGTTATTCAATAGAATATGTAAAGACTAATCAACGGCTAAAGAGTTAAAAGGATTAGGCCACTTCTATTTCCTGTGCTAATCCAACATTTTAGATAAAAATTACTTAATATATTAATAAAAAGTTAAGTTTTAATTTTTAATTTTTGTCTAGGACAATCTATTTTGGTGAAGGTTTTACATGCAACGTATTACAAATTATAAATTCAATAAAGTTTCATATACACAACTCTTATGATTCAAATGTTACAATTCTTCATGTTTTATTACTGAACAATATTTTATTTGATTTAGTCTTCTTGAATTTAATTTTAAATTTATAAAATTTTTCACAATATACCATTCTAGTAAATTAGCTTAATCAGATATTTCATCTTAAAATCTATCTATTCATTGACTTTTTTGATGTATACTAGTTGTAAAATTTAAATTATTAGAAAAAAAAATTCTGGAGTCTTAAAGTATATTTATGCTAATATCTCCAACATCATCTAATGGAATATGCTACATATCTTTGGTTTTTATGTATAATAGTTTTATAAATTTGTTTTTTATGTGGCACTAAAATTAACTGTAATAATATATATTATAATAATAACTTTATTTTTTAACATATTGTTTTTATAATCAGATATTATTTTTTTTCTCTAGAGATGAATTATAATTTGTCATATATATTAATTTTATTATGATGTGTTTATTTATTTAATTTACTTTTTTGTTGTCTCTCAACTTTTTTTCTGCTCTCACTGGACTGATTTTACTTAATGATACTTCAAAAGATTACAAATAGTATCTAATTTAAGATGTAACTTTTAAAATTTGAAAATATTACTCGTTCTCAGTAAATGGGAAAACCCAAAAAATTATAATCTTTGGAAATTTGTAAATTTTAATATTCTTTAAACATTTAAAAAATGAAATTAAACAAAAAATTTTATTATGGTGTAAAAAGTTATAGGTTTTGTATTTTTATAGTTTTCTACTTCAATTCGTTTTCAAATTATTATTGTCTATACTTTGGGTCGAACAATATAGTCATATAGAAGTGGGTAAGTACCCCAATTAAACACCCGCTCTATTATAGAAAATACACATGTCAGTGTTTATTATAATATTTTAATGAAGTATTTTTGCAGCTATCCTTCAATATATTAAGTAAAAGTATATTAAAAATAAGGAAATTATCCTTTCCTAAAATATAATCTATGTACAATGGCTTATGATAAAATACAATTTCATAACTGAAATTATAATTAAATAATATAGGTTAGAGTAATCGAACTTTTTTCTTTGGTACGTTTGTATTAACTACAATACTGAATTATTAAATATTATTTCAAACAAATTAAAAAAATAATATTTATATTTGAGGATTATACTTCAATAACGTGCTCTGTGACAAATAATTGATTTTGAGTAATTCATTATTTTATGTCATTCGAAGAAATGTTTAAATATAAACGTAAAACCTACAACAGCTTATACTTAAATCTACTCATAAAAAAAAATTACGTTTGCCTTCTTTACTTTTCTCTTTATATTAAATTTTTTTCACTTTATTATTTCCTTTCCTCTCCTCAAGGCAATTGGGCTTGACATTTACATAAATTTTTCTGACACACTAACTTGATTCTGTTAAATTTGAATTTATGCTGTTTTGGCATAATTTAATGATCTCTACTAAAAATAAAATAAAATTTATAGTTTTGCAAAACGAAGCGTTTTTTATGAGAGTGATTTAAATACTTTTTTAAAAATTATTCATACCAATTTTAAATATTAAATATACGCATGCAACCAGTAAAAAATATTTTAGTTCTCACTTTTTCAAACTGTTTTAATAATTATATATTGTTTTCTTAATTATCTTATAAATATAAAACATATTGAGTGTTATATTTTGGAAACTTTATGTATGATATAAAGTTATTGAGTGTAATTAATATGAAAAATTGATAATCCTACGAGATTAAATTTAAAATCATGGTTTTTATTTATTTCAATTCAACAGGATTCTATTCTAAAATAAATGAAATATTTGTAATACCCTTTGAAAAATCTAATGGCGAATATCAAATAGACTATAAACACATTTTGATATAATAATACAATTAAATAGGCTATGTGGGCATAAGGGAGGGGATGTATTGAGGCCATAACATAGTATTATAAAACACTATTTTAGCTGGACAAAATTAGTAAAAAATGTCGAAATATCTACTTTTGAATAGAAGAAAAATGGTTGATAAAATTGTTTAAAAGGTTGCTAAATTGCACATTTTTTAATTTATTCCCTTTTAACTGGATCATAGGGTGTTTCATTAAATTAAGTCTATTTTTCATGTAATATATGTCATTTATTTTATTAATTTTTTTTTTTTTCATTATAATTATAATTGAATAATTAAGTTTTAAAACTCAATCATTCTAACTAGCATAAAAATTTAAAACCATATTTTATTATGTTAAAATTAAATAAAAAAGAAATCACATTTAAACCATCTTCAAAAAATTTTTTTTTTGTATATAAGTATATATATGATACAGATATAGTATTTGATATAAGATTTTTTATTCCCTTCCAAAATCATTTGACAGCTACTGGATTCAATTTCAAATATTTCATCAAAGATTTTATCCTTAAAAATTTAAAAAATAGTTGCGGATATTTTAAAAGTTTTAATATAAAATTTAATTTCTATATAAAACATTTTTATATGAAAAATTTAATTGTTGAAAGAATGTATTTAATATAGTTGTCGATAACATTTATTTGAACACAATTTCAATTTTATGGTTTTTCTAATAGATTAGATAAATTATTTCTCAATCTAAATTTAGTTTTTAATTTTATACCGGGTTGTTGTTGAGCTTTTAAATGTAGTTATTTATATATGAATAAAATGTTTATTTTTTGTAGTAATTAAAATATATCAAATATCAAAATATGACGATTAGAGATGCTAATTAACATTTTTTTACTGACTAGATTAAGTAACAAATTATCTATTTAGAATTTTATAGTTATTGACAAAATTATTTATTTTTATAATTTCAAATTAATTGAAATTTAATATATAAACTTAACCGATTTAAAATATTTGTGTATTTTATGGTGATATATTTGAGTTATTATTAATATGAGGGTATTATTAATTTTATTTTATTAAAATTAATCTAAGTCATTTAATATATGTATATATATATATCGGCTTTAAAATCAACATTTTAATTTAAACAGTTTAATTTTTAAACTTCTTCTTAATAGTTTAATTAAAAAATTAACTAGTTAAATTAAGAAATTAATTTAAAACAAAATTTGACTCTTTAGGTTTTATTAATAGTTTTCTTAACCTTAAATTTATAACTATTCAGTAAATATAATTTAAATACATAACATTAACATTAAAAATGTTTTAATAACATTTAAAAAATAATAAAAATAAATAATGTTTTTATATTGTATTTTATATCATTAAGTTATATTAAATGCTCAGATTTTATGGATAGTTGAGTTCATACAAGTATTTCATCCTATACTTTTAAAAATATTTTTAGCTGCGCATTTCATATCGGATTAATGATAAACTTTGCCCTGTTAGAGGTAAAACTTACATCAAAAGTGACCCTTTTAAATCAAAACATCCATAATAAAATGAAAAAATATTATAAAGACATGTTGTCAAGGTTGGTAATTATGATGATTTATCGACTTACTTATTATTAATTTTGTTAAAAATTACATATAATATTAAAAACTTTATTTGAAATGTCCACGGCGTTTGTTTTTAATGTTGCAGTACTCAAATAAAATTAGATTCATCTTTTTCATAAAAAAGAAAACTACATTTTGTTATTTATCTATTTCATTCGTTTTGTATAAAAAACTAGTAGTAAAATTTAATTTATAAAACAATTTGTCAATTTTAGTTATTTAGTACCTGTTATTTTTTATCGTTTTTAATATATGAGTAGTAATGGTGTAATATTATTGCACTTGTAAAAGAGTTATCCATAATCGTTATTATGGTTGTCTAAAATTCAAATAAACTCTTGAAAAGTTAGTTCATCAAAAAAATAATTAATCAGTGTAAAAAATGATTTTCGATGAAAATTTGTTTCAGAAAATGGATAGAAATATATGATTAATCCTGTTTCAAATTCATCATTATATAAATTAATTCTGTTTAAACTTTAAAATTTATATTTTATATTTTAAATTTTAAAATATTATTCAAGTCAACATTTTTTTATTTAAATATTATGTTTTGGGATTTTTTAACAATTTTTCCAAAATATGTGAACAATATATCTGATAAAAATGATAGTTTATCAAGAAATTCACAATTTTCTTTGAATACTGGTTTTAAAACAATAGCATAAAGATACTCTGATCCTAGTAAGTAGTATATCCATAGGCAAACTCCAAGTTTTATCTCATAGAAAAATGGCAATCGTTTTATTAAACTGAAAACAATGAACCAATTATTTCCTTTAAAATTTAAAAGCATATTTATATAGATAATATATAACATAATATTTATAGTAGAAATAATAGTTTTTATAATAATTAATAGTATTGTGTTACATTTTGAAAAACACTGAAAATTAATCAAATCTCCAAATTTTATTATTTACAACTTATATCTTTAAAAAATTGAATTATTATGCTTTTTATTCATAATTTATTCAACTTAATCGTAGTCAGAAGTTAAATGATTGAAATAAATATTAATTAAAAACATACCAATCTGTGAAGTATTCTATGATTGTATAAAAACCGTATACAGACCAATAAATTAACAATCTTGACCGCTCATTTATATCGTTATGAGATATAGCTTCGAACGTAGCAAAAGCTGGTAAAATAATAGTTAAAACAATTGTAATCAAATTAGTAATATCTGCCATATTTATGTATAATTATTTTTTATGTGAAGTAATTTGTATTAAATTTTATTTTAAAATGTGCTATAAAAATTGAGGAAACAAGAAAAAAATTAAAACAACTGCGTTGTTATGAAACACGCAAATAATAATATTTTTATGAATATAGAATGCGAGGAGATTTATTATTTTTATCAAAATTTACATTTTATAGATTACATAGTGTTGGCTTATAATGGTTTTTTTTAATTGTTAGAATTTATTCCATCTTATTCTCTTGAATTATAACGAATAAAATTTTAGAAAAAATTACTGTTTATTATTTTAAATCTGATCAAAATCTATTCAAATAATTAAAAATAATTATGTATATATATATGAGATGTTCAGTAAGTAAGGAATCGGGTTTCTAATGTTTTCATATGTTTTCTTATTTACTGAACACTATGTATCTTATAATAAAGTAACCAAAATTTAAACAGTTTTTTTATAAAATATGTTTTTCGATAATAGCGATATTTCTAAAATAATCGATATCATGGGAAATATGGAAAAAGTAAGCGATATCGATATTTCGATTTGATATCGTTGACGAATCCTAATATTTATAAATGTATAAGCCCAGGGTTTTCAATTTTTTTAAGTGGAGGGATCAAATCTAATTTACCTTTTAAAACAATATTTATGTTTTTTTATTTTTAGCCATCGGCTTTAATATTATACAACTCCTTAATATGAATAGTAACCAAAGTTTGCTCCATCCGACGCCTATATGAAATTTCAAATTAAAGTTTGTTTGAAATTTCCAACAGCAGATAAAGAAAAAAAATTATTTTTAGCAAATAACTTTGTTAGTTCTTACAATTGTTTTTTTTTATGTAAAATAGGTGTTTATAATTTTTTTTTGTTCTAAATGCATTTCATTAGTTATTAAATGTTAACATTTTTGTTTACAGTTAAATCATGGGTGACATTAGCTACAAATGATTCATATGCTTTGGGTGCATTGGTTTTGGCGCATTCATTAAAAAATGTCGGCACTAAGCATCAGTTAACAATATTAATTACACCTGGTGTTACAGCTTCTATGAAGTAATTCTATTCAAAGTTAATATTATATTCTCTGATATTTAATATTATGTATCTATTTTAAAATAGAGAACAAATACACAAGGTATTTAATGATGTTAAAGTTGTTGATGTCCTTGATTCAAAGGACGAAGCTCATTTGGCTTTGATGAGTCGTCCAGAACTGGGTATAACTTTTACTAAATTGCATTGTTGGACGTTAATTAACTATGAAAAATGTGTTTTTCTTGATGCAGATACATTGGTAAGCTCTAGTTTTTTTGTATTTTAAAATATTTTCACATATAATTAGGGAAATAAAAATAAGACAGATATTTTATAAGTTCGATGAAGGTGGCTCTAGATATCATAAACACTTGCGAAAGTAAAGGATGCCAAAATTAGAATTGCGTACTAGTAAGAATAATTTTGTCTTGTGTATGTCATCAGTCGAAGACCATTTTTTCTATAGAGCGTCAAAATATTTCTTGTAGCACGAGCTGATAGAGCTAAAGGCAGTCTTGAAGGTACCTAATTTAGGTACCGCGAAAAATATAGCTGGAAGTTAACATATTCCCCTAAAATGACATCAGACGGCTTAGTGAACTTTGCTGTCTTAAAGAATAATTTCGTTGTGTTCTCTGTTTCAAATAATAATAAAACTAAAAATCAGTAAAAAATCTACAAAAATATATTTAATCTTCTCTTTTGGTAATCAGGGACAAAACCATTTTTTTAGTGATGGGAAGTATTTAACAAGTATTTACTGACTTATTATGTTCAAAAATGGAATGTTCAAAAAAATAATGTTTTACAAATATATATTAACAATTTTAAAAATATCTAGGAACTTGTTTATTTTTGCTGGCTAAACTTTCCTTTTTTCAAAAATGTTCGATGTTTAATATTGAATAACTTACTTTGAGAAAATGTCAAAAATATGTTGGTCTATAATTTATTTTAGTTGATCCACTAAACTCGCTTATGTACTTAGTAACTTGTCCCAATTATTTTGCGTAGTTATAAGAAAATATACTATTATATCTACACAACGCAGTTTTTATTTATATTTTTAGACTTGTTGCAAAGTTAGACCGCATTAGACGTATTCATTCTGGACGTATTCCAAACATTTCGGAAAATTTTAGATTTCTTAATGCATTCAAACATTGTACCGGTTGCATAGCATTATTATTTAAAATACTCGAAATCAATTATTCCATTTAAAATCTATTCTTGATTCTTAATAGTGCTGTACCATAAATACGCTATTATTAAATATTCTCTTCACTTTTTATTAGTCTTGGGATATATTATTTTATAATTTTTAAACATTATTTATTTCAAGTAGTCAAAAAAATTAAGAAACATATTTATTAAATAATTTATAATATTAAATAATGTTATATTGAGACATTTGTTATTATTTTCACTAACATCTACTTGATTTCATTAAAATATGATTGAGTAACAAAATTAAAATAGTTAATAATATAAGGATATCTTATTATTATTTGAGTACATAATTAATAACCATTGATGATATATAAAGGAAATGTTATGAACATAATTATGTTTTTAACAATAAATAATATTGTAATTCATTATTAACATAATTTTTTTTACTTTTGTTAAGGTTCTGCAAAATTGTGATGAACTTTTTGACAGAGAAGAATTATCAGCAGCTCCTGATCCGGGTTGGCCAGATTGTTTTAATTCTGGTGTATTTGTATTTAAACCTTCTTTAGATACTTTCAAACAATTACTAGATTTTGCTAAATCCAAAGGATCATTTGATGGTAAATAGGTACTCATATCTTAAATAATCTTAAGTTTTAAAAATTTAATAAATTGTATTATTTTACAAGTTTAAATAATAATACAATATATGTATTAATACAAAAAAAAAAATATGAATAATATTTCATAATAAATTACTTTTATAATTATTGTTATTAATTTTATAAAAATGAATTTAATATGTGTCTATAGCAGACTATTATAACTGTAGATAAGATCCGTTAAGATATTTTGGCTGTGCAACTGATTTGTAACAATGTACATTATTTTCTTCGTTGAAATAAAAATGCTATTATTTTAAATATATACAGAACTGCGATAACCAGTAAAAGTTTAATTGCAGCAACAATGACCAATATTAATTGTAATTTCTGAATTTTGTATGTTTTGGGATAACTATATAACTACATATCTCGGGGTTGAACTGATAAAATTTTATTAATGAATAATTATTTACTTCATCATAAGATATGCTTATGATCAAAAAATTATTAGTTATATTATAATATTAATTATATTTTTGAAGTGGATCAATATCTTTAATTCACCTTGTATAAAATTTACAATATGTAAAACATCAGATTCTGTAATCTCTTTGATTTCCTGGACATTATATTTTTTATTTTATATCATATTTTATTTTATTTTTTAGGTGGCGATCAAGGATTGTTAAATTTATTTTTCAAAGACTGGGCTCACAAAGATATCTCAAAACATTTATCATTTACTTACAACGTTGTTTGGTCATCTACGTACTCTTATTTGCCTGCATTAAAACAGTAAGTTAAATAATTTTAGCTATAATTATTACTGTTAATAAATATTAAATTAATTTTTTCAGATTCGGTCAAAACATGAAAATTGTTCATTTCATTGCCTCCAGTAAACCATGGCTTCAAAAATTTGATGTCGGAAGTAGAATTGTTACATCAACTTCAGGAGGTTCCGGACTTCAAGCTCTTTTGCAGTTTTGGTGGGATTTGTTTTGTAAGCATGTTCATCCTGTGCTTTCAACACAAATGGTATGTGATACCAATCATTACAGGTTCAAAAAAATTCATGTTGGGTCAAAAAAATACAGCGCGTTCATTGTAAACATAACAACATTTTGCTTTAACTAACATTTTTTCCTAAAGCTGTGCTACCTGAAGTGCAAGTGCAAAAAAGTCAGATTTCATCGCCACAATGGTATGTAAAGTGATTTAACGCTATTATGTTTTTAATGCATGGTTATTGTGTTTTTATGACTACATACACTCATCCTTAGAACTGCTGCTGGGGCTTCTGTCTTTCACTTGTTTTGGTCACATTGCTTTTGCATGCGCTATAAGTGACTTCTTTATACGTTTAAATAACACTGTTTATTTTTTCAAGATATTCTAATTACACAATTAACTAGCACAGTTTTGTTTTACTTTTTTTTTTTGCTTTTTACACAGATAGAAAGTCGCCTCAGTAGCTGTTACTCCCATCAATCCTCAACCATTTACCATTTTAATGATATTCCTTCTTTTTACGATATTCCTGTAAATGAAACTTTAAATTGCGAACCTCCACAAGAGCATTATTATAACTTTACCGACCCTTGGGAGGAGTATATAGGAGTTACAAATGAACAAAATAAAATCGAGATAGAGGAAAAAAAATTTATGAGTGATGAAAATTATTTGGAGTGTGACAGAGAAATTTATACCGAGAATTTTAGTGAAATCAATTGTGATTCCCGAAAGCAAATAGAAAACTACATTTTTCAGAACGATGTAGTGGAAGACTTAAATAAATTTGAACACAAAAAAAGGAGTGATGAGTATTTGGAAAATAATAGTGACTTCCAAGGGCAAGTAAATATTGAATACAACTGTCCCGCATGTTTTACTGAACTTCCAAATAACAATACCTCCAGCTTGAGTGTTAATAACAGTAGTTTCGATACCCCAAAGTCATCAAAAGTGGTAACTGCGGAGGAAGAACAAGAAGTAGTCGATGTAAGTAGTATCACTTTTATGAGACATGTAATTTTTAATATTGTTTTATTTGAGTGTCTTAAATAATTATTTATACTTATATATTAATATTAACATTAACGTAGCTTACTAAAAATTAAGAATAAATTAAAATACTCGTTTTAACGTAGTTTAAAGTACACTGTTCTATTTAAAAAAGTGTTGTTTAATTAAAGTTAGTATTTCAACAAATGTGAAACTAATCCTTAAAAAATGCATGCAACTTAATAAAAATTAAAATCGAGTAGGTTTTAGAGTTCATTAAAATGTGTAAAATTAAACTTAAAAAAATTAGCTTGTAAATTTTTAGGTTATTCAGTTTTTGTCATTTAATATTTAAAAATATTATAAAGGTACTAAGAAATTTTATAAATTATAAAATATTATATATTAAAAATTATAGTATTCGTTTATTAAATGCATAATATTTATTATATTTTAGGGAGGTTTAGCTGCTCAATTCGCTAACTTGCCATTAGGCGAAAAATCAGCTGATCAGCAAGCTTTGGAAGACTTTTTAAGGCGTCAATCTTGGGAACACGGAAATGTAGATTATTTAGGTAAAGATAGTTTTTCTAATATATGGGCCAAAATTAATGAAACATTGGAAACACCGTCTGAATCAAAAGTTGAGCCTAATGTTACATTAACTACTCCGCAATCCCTTGAAATAGTTCATACGCAAGAAATTAAACCTCTAAAATCGGCATTGAAAAAGACCTCAACCACTTCTCAACCTGACCATTCAGAACTCACAGGAAGTATAGAAACAACAACCAAACAACTAGAAAAGTTAGATTTTAAGAAAGACGATAGTGAAGAATCTAAAGTACCACTAACTCCAACTGTTACTTCTCCAACTCCACCTACAACACCTTCTACTCAACTTCAAGAATCACCAAAACCTATTGAACCTAGCAAAGATATACCTACACCGGAAGATCCACCGAAAGAAATACTAAAAACCGTGAAACCTGAGAGTATTAAATCTGAACCAGCAGAAGAAGTTAAAGAATCAGTTCAACAAACTAATGAACCTGTGATGACTGAAGAAAAACATGTTTCTAATGAACCACCAGTACCACCGAAACGTACCCACAAACCATCAGGATTAGATGACAGTAAAAATGTACCACCACCTGCTCAGGAAAAATGATAAGTTTTGCTTTTACTTATTTTTATTGTCATTATATTTACGTTTTGTTTTGTTCCTCGAGATAATAATTATTATTGTTTTTCTTTCTTTTTTATTAACAAAGTAGGATAAACAAATGACAATGGATATCTATTTGTCAACATTTTTTCTAGTTTATTTAATCACTTTATATTTATTTATACGTTTTCGTTAAAAATATTATATATTTTATTAATACCAATTAATTTTTCAACAAATATAAAGTCAATTAATTTTAATAACAAATTTACCATTTTTAATTGTCAATATTATTTTGGTTTTAATTTATTGTTTCGTATACAGAGTGTTCAATAAGTAAAGAAACGGGCCAATTATTACAAACAATGAGAATAATAGAAACTCGTTTCCTTACCTACTGATCACATATATATTTTATTTTTAAATATTTTATGAAAATTATTTGTATAATGTTTGTTATCCTATGTCAGCTAAAATTACTCAATTTTTAAATCTCTTATAAAATATTTATTATTTTATTTTTGTGTAATTTTAATAATTTCAACATTTAATTTTAATGCAAACATTTCGCGAAGTTTTTGATAATATATTGTATGATGATATTTCTTCGTTTATTTTACTTATATAGATTGGTGAAATTAGCAAAAATCCAGAGATAGCTAAAATTGTGTAAGGATTACAAAACTATGGGGAGCTCGCTCCCATGCCCTCAATTCACCACATTAATATAGATGGCTGTATAACTTTGGGAAATATACTAGTCTGTGGATGCTGAAGCGCTCCTTAGCATCCATAGTAGTTGCACCCCTGCTAATATGTAAAATACTAATTTATGAAATAGTTATTTTCTATATATTTAATAAATATTTTAAAGAACTAACATAAAATTCACTCTTCACCCTATTCATTCTTTAAAAATGTTGAGGTCCCTGTTTGACCTTAAATATTGTTGTTACTATGATAATTTTACATTAATTTTAGGTTTACTTAATAGTATTAAATTAGAAATATTTAGAATTTGAAAAATTGCATTTTAAACGAAACTCATTCCAAATCCAGTTCCTCTAAAAAAGTGCTCCTATAAGATTGCCTTTTAAAAAAGGAATCGTTTTGTTAAAAAAAATAAATAAGAAGAACATGCTATAATTATTATATTAATATTATAACCATAATTTAATATTAAAGTATATGCTATATTTTAAACATTCTATGTAAAGGATAAAATTAGAACAAAATGTTTGAAGTATCTAAAAATAATGTCTCCCCTCTTTAAAATTGTTTTTATATAAATTGACACATAATTTGCATAGTATTTTTGGAGAGGTGGTTGGGATAGAATTAGAATGACTAAGCCCCTCTGAGCCTACAATATTGCGCCTGTTAGCCTATGTCTTTAAGATATTACTTTATTAATGTAATTATTTATTTAATATAATTAAAATTATTAATATCACAGTAGTATATTATAATTATAAAGTGTTGATAACACAATAAAGAAATAATACATATATACAGAATTATTGGTTTATCATAAATCACTCGATTACTGGCAATTAAAATACAATATCGGAAAAAAATTTAAAAAAAAATGACTGGTCCATAACAAATTTTGGACTAGTATTTCGAAAGTAATTGTCAATTTTATATCAAGGTGGTAGGAATAGTATGATCAGGAAATGACAAGTGATAAAAGCAGCAGCACCCACTCCTCATCTCCAGTCAATACATTATATTGTTAATTACTTCTGAAATAACAGTCCAAAAGTTGCTGACCAGTCATTTTCTTAATTACATCATTATCTATCAAATAAGCTAGTTAACTATGTAAATTACTATTTGAAAAAATAAAATTGACATCTCTATAAGTCATAAGGAATGATTTTAAAAAGTAATATACAGTTGATAAATCAAGAAATTTATGCAACTATGATTTTCCTTTTTGTATTTGTTTTGCGAGTAATTTATGATAAACCGATTATTCTGTGTAACTAGATTCACTAGATTTCAATAAAAAAAAAATTGTTCATGTTCCTCATAAAAATTAACTCATTCACATTGCTCGTTTTTTAATTTTTAAAAGGAAGCAGTTCCTAGCTTGTATTAAACAATATTCGCGTTGGTACTACAATTTAAGATTAAGACTAGAATAATAAATGCAAATTTTGTAGTATAATTTTTTGTTACAAATTTAATTTTGGCATATGCATATAATTGTAATTATAGTGTTTAATTGAGGTTTTTCAATATTTATTTATTTCATAATTATGTCATAGACTTGAGTTGGTTATGTTTTATTGTATTTCCTTGAAAGCTTCATTGGTTGATTCCATGGCTTGTTTAAGTACATTATAGTTGTCTTTGAAAATAGGATCAAAAAAATGATTGTATAGATGTTGTGCACCGGCAAAGTAATAAATCCAAATTAATGCGATAAACTTCATTTCTTCGTAAAAAGGAAACCACCAAACATATCTAATTAATTGATTAAATTAATAACACTTTTCAAATAATTAGAAGTTTTTTTAGTGTGATTTAATTAGGCGTTATATTTAAAAATTATAGGTGTATAAAAAAAAGTTTTAATTGTTTTTTATATTTTATTTACATCCATAAAACATTACTAGTTACTCCTTTTTTTTTTTGAAAACTATTAAGGTTTCCTCATTATGGATGTGCCTGTAACTGTTAAGACAACTTATTTATATGTATTTATTTACTGGTCAGTAATCCATTCGGTTGATTTGAATATCCCAAAAACGATCCAAAATACAAGTAATCTTTCGCACTCGTCAGACTGATAGGTTGAATTTAAAATAATTTTATAAGAAGCATACGCAGGAATAAGTATAGCAAAAGTTAATGTTGCCCATCGGCTCAGTAATCCGGTCATGTTAATGCACGTGTGTATAGAATTTTTATGGTGTAAGTTTTTATTTTATTTGAAATCTATTGATTAATATTTTGTACTATTCATTTATAAATTTTTTAATAAATTTACATTGGTTAAATTAAACAAATTATTGCCATGGAACCGTAAAGACATGTTTTAATACATTATCTTTGTTCTTTTGTATGTTTTTAGAGTATCCTTTACGTAGAATACGAAATGATTTCTTAAAAAAGAAAAATTTCATAAAATATCTTTTAAGTTGACATCAAGCAATCCATAGTTCGAGTTCTTCGTTTGGTTGCCTGTATTATTAAAATATAAGGAGTAAATTTATTTACTAACTATTTAGAGTATGAGAATATTTAGTAGATTTATTATATTTTGAAAACATAACTAAAAAAAATTTGTCAATTTAATAATGTATTTTGCATGATAATAACTATTGATAAGGCGCTTCATCGTTTTGAATTTACCTGGTTAATATTTTCTAATGACATAAATGTTTTTAATCATCTGTGATCGTAATAATTTCTTATCTAAATAATCTTCATTAGTTTTCAAGTTGTAGAGTTGATATTTTTCTTCAATTTAAAATGTTCTACGTTTATCATAAAAAACTTGGAAAAAATATTTAAATAAATTTTATTACAATATAGAATAAAGTTTTCTATGAACTGCTGTTTAATTATGTTAGGTATACTTCGAATTCGAAGCTGTAAATAATTTACTTCTATAATAATGGAAACCTGTTGAAATTGAAAACAAATCATTAACTATATATGTTGAAATGTTAAGCAACCATATTATTGCTTAATGGAACGTAAAATATGAATAAGATTTCATTTGACACTTAACATTTGAAAAGTTGTTGTGATTCTTGTTCACAAATCGGAATTGTGAATCGAATTTCTATTTTAAAATTATATTCTATGTCTTTCGGACAATTACTTATGATAAAAATAAATGTCCATATTCACAAGATATATTCATTAATCCGTAATCAATAAGTTTATTTGTACACGTTTAGCAATTAAGACATATATATGACAAATACTTTTTGGAACTATAAAATTGTTTTTTTTTTTTGATTTCGCGGAATATGACGAATGCTAATAAGCTCAAACATGAATAATATGTAATACGCAATATTCATATAATATAGTACAACTTGTACTGAAATTGCATCAATTCAAAAGTAATAATGCTTGTGTAAACATTTATTATAATATATTTAAAATTGTAAATTACAAGACAAGAAAGTTGAATGATATTTAAAAATTATAATAATTGATAACATCATCTAAGTAAAACCTATTTCCCTATTTTAAATGATTTACCTAGATGTCGTTATTCCCATTTGGTAGTTAAAATACATACATATATGTATATATACATTTGTTAATTTTACATTACTATGATACTTAAATTAAATTTTTTTTATAAAACTTAATATTAAACAAATATGGGTAATAACGAGTTGTTAATTTAGTTTTATCAGGTTATCTATCAAAATACTTTTTTTAAACAAAAAACTTTTGGATTGCGCATCTTTTATTTTAAATTTTGAACATTTAATAAAATTATGCAACACATTTGATTGCACACTTATTTATAAAGTACATGTCAAATTTAGTACTTTGCTTTATTTATAAATTCTATATAATAAAGCTATTCGGGTTTAAATTTACTATAACTATTTTTAAACACAATCATTTCCTCCTTGAATAGGATGAAACTGAAAAAATTATTAAGTTAAAATTGTATTATTAACTTGTCTAGTCTTATAGTTATGTTATTATGTTCACTGCGTTTATACCAATAATCTGTGATCGAAATGTATTATTTTTAAAGCCGTCTTAATAAAATCGTTTTTCCTTAGAAATTAAGTAAATTGTTTTGTACGTTTCTGGGTGTTGAAAATGAACAGGAAGTTGGCACGTTAAGGTCACGTGTTAGTCACTTTAAAGTTGACTGATCATAGCGGGACATTCAAAAATAATTTCAGACTTCTGATAGTACCGCGTGAATCTTGGAGTAAGTACTTAACCAGTATAAGGGGGCTGGTCGTTATGACGTAATTTGAACATTTAACAAACGAGTCGTGAGACTTTAAGAACTCGGTTGTTAATGAATGACCTTTCATAGCCTTCATATTTTAATAATTATACACCTATGCGGTGGGGATAGAAACGAGTCACATCATATAGTTTTTTAAAACGGTATCACGTGGCAGTGCGTCCAAAAACCACCGTATTGGTCACTGTTAAAGAACCTCGTACTGTATCGGTATGTGGTTACACTGAGTGACCAAACAGCTACCATGTCATTCAGTGTTAAGTCCCCACCGTTGTTGAGGACGTTTGCATGCGGTGCGTGCGTGTAGCTTAGTAATACTGATACTAGTTGCGCCAGTACTAAGCCAGTTTAGGAGTGAACGCGTATGTGTTCGGTTCTACCGGGCCCGTTCGGTAATGTGTGACGTTAGTAAACCGTACTCCTAATAAATATATCACCTTAATTTCCTTAATCCGTCCGCGCACCTGTTTTGATTTACGTGGTTTCTTGATGAGTGCCTATTATTGACACGAGGCACGTTAAAATAAAACATGTCGAGTTTACAAGAACAGCAGCAACCCATCATTAAAATGGAACCGGGTAGTCCAGTCGCATCAGTAGCGGCCAACAATAATAATAACTTGGTCGTTCGGGTGGATCAGGACTCGGAGACAGACTTGCAAGCGTTGTTTGACACGGTGCTCAAACCCAATGGTCAGAAACCACTTCAGCTACCGCTGAGGATGCGGCAGCTTCCAAAGTCGTTTTTTAACCCGCCATCCACAGGTTCCAAGTCGCCGTCCATCTCTTCGATATCGCACAGTCGGGAAAACTCTGGTGACTCGGCCTTTGGCACCACAGCCGCCGGTGCGTGCATTACAACCACAGCACCGTTGCACTCGCGAGCGCACAGCTCGCCTGCTTCGCTACAACAAACTTACGCCGTCGGCTTGCAGCAAAAGCAACAGCAACATGTCAAGCAACACAGTTACGATGTGTCCAGTGCAATTGACGAGTTGGGACCGTTGCCTCAGGGGTGGGAACAAGCGCGGACACCGGAGGGACAGATTTATTTCTTGAAGTGAGTCTTTTTTCTTAACTCCACTATCTATCGCTTCTCTTGCGCCATACAAGTATACGACCCTCCCCACCACGATTCCCCCTATCTACTGGTTTTGGCTATCCCGTCGTTCAGACGCTTTCGTCGCCGCCATTCGTTCGGTCGGTCTATATTTAAACGTGCCAGACTATCTGTTTTGCGTGTTAATGTAATAACGACCATAGTAGTGTTGATGGAAAATAAGAGGGGAAGTAAAACATCTCTGATCTTGTTTTATTTTAATTCAACGCAATAATGGAATTAATCATAAAATTCCAGCGTTCTTGTATAAATAAATAAGACTACTAAAAATATAAATAATTAATTACCCTGCAGATGCGCGGACCCGTGTTTTTTAAACGGTCGTACAGTGATGATTTTAAAGTATAACAGGAGTGTTAGTCATGATTTCCATTGAAAGTCGTAAGAGTTCAGCATGTGAATGACGTGTATTAGCATTAACAGATTAATTGGGCTCCTATATATCTTTTTTTAACCTTACAAAACATTTAACAGTCTATGACTCCATAGACTTTCAGTTTAACAGATTATTTTTAATACAAGTCTAGGCTGTTGGTTTTTTGCTTGGCCGTTTTGTAAATAATAAATAATGTTCTTTGTATTTTATTTAGTATTTATACAAAACGAGTGTGTGTATTCTAGTTGTGTTTAATCAGTGCCCGTGCAAAGTGTTATATTGTACTGAATAAACCTTATCACGAACACATGTAATTATGAACAGTAATAATTCATCTCAATATAAACGAGTAACTATAAAAACGATGATTTTACATAGTCCCGTTTTTTTTTTCTACGAGATATATTCAAAACAGATTTGATTTTTTGATAAAAATAGACATTGAGGCCTTTTCTGTCAAAGTTTTTTATAAAATAAGCGTAATTAACTAATTTCAAACATTAAAAAACAGAAGACTTGAATAAAGGGAATAAATTACCTATGTCCCTTTTCAAATCTAATAATAAACTTGTAAATCACAGGGACACTATCCATTGTATACAATTTTATCACTCCGAGAATTATAATGATTCAAATACTCTTTTAAGTATAAGTTATGTGTTTTGTTTGAAAAATATTTGGCAAAAAGGAGTTCAGAAAATCTCCATTAAAAAAATATCTAACACACAAATTCTTGACGGTTGCATTTGCAATTTTACGCAGTCCTATGCACATAAAACCTTCAAGAAATTAATTATTTAAGTTACGGGGTTTTTAAAACATTATTTGGTATCTTTGGATAGCTTAATTCGACCCTGCACACAAATATTATATTATTATACAGTAAGTAAAATCAAACCTAAGCAAATTATTTTTTCACATGAATCACTTATCGCATAATTCCATTGAGAATGCATGTATATGTTTTTTTTTAAAGTGATCCTATCGAAGAAAAAAAATATGTCGTAAATGTATTTTTGCCAGTCACAGTATTAAAATAGTTTTCAAAATGTCTATTTAAAACATTTTTCATTTTATTGTGCGCAAAATTAATAAATTACTTAGTGAAATATGCGAAATTAAATGATAAAGAAGTCGTTGTTCAGTGTAATTAATTATCATTAAATGTAGAGGATGCTCAGTATATAAGGAAATGGGTCAACTGTAATAAGCAACGAGAACAATAGAAACCCCTTTCCTTACTTACTGAACACTTACTTAATGTGTAATCTTATAAACATACTGCCTTCTCTAAACCGGAGGAGTTCAAAGTGGAACTGGAGTAGTTCACGATGCAATCGCTTCAATTTTTTAGGCATCGATAAAGCCTAAAATTGAACTTTTCTATTATCAATGATCCAAATGTTTGGTTAGATATCGTTTGTATTCAAAAGTAACTGTTGATAAAATTAATCTATGTATTTAAACAAAACACATTTATCATGGGCTCGTGTCAAATAATAGCAAAATTGCTCAAATGTAACGATTTTAAAAAACATTTAAAATTTTTATCAAAGTAAATGACTTGTAACATCAGATGCCATTGTAATATTCAGCAGCATATTTACAAAATATAGTGTTTTTTTTTATTATTATCTTGTTACATTAGAAAATAATTCTGTTGAATTTTCTATAGACACCACAAATAATTATTTTATTTTATTATTGTGACGTAATAAATACCATTATTGAATACAATTTTTTATACATGGCGTAATTCTTAAATAGATTTCAACTGTAATTTCATCAAAGTACTGTACTGAGAATAAGTTTAGAAAGAACTTGTACTAATAACGTACTATAGTTTCTATAACTGTCACAAATTTTCCTAATGAAACGTAATATGTTTTCTTATAACATTCGTTATAACTTAAAACCGTTTAGTATGTAAATGTAAATTAAGAGACAAGTGGAAAAACTTATAAATTAAAAACAATAATGATCTGTAGTGTAACGTTAAGTTTAGGAGCCAAGATTTATTTAGTGATTATTTATTCATTGTATATAGTTACACTTGAAATGTAACGAATTCTATACGTTTGAATAATTATTTAACACCCTAATGATTATTGTAATAGACGTTAAATTTATTGTATTAATCTATTCTTTATTAATGCGTTTTAATACTTTTTCTGACTCTATTGCAAATTATTAAAGCTTAAATGGCCGTAATATCTCATTACATATAATTGGGAGTTATGTAACGCATATTGAATGATTAACATGATAAAATTGTAATCCATATTAATTGCACACCATAAATACAACTCCAGTCAAAAAAGTACGTAAATATTTACTAAAAAAACTATGCAACGAGCCAAAATTGAACGTAAAAAAGCGATACTGGCCGATTGTAAATTATTATAAGATTTTTATTGTAAAATATTAAAATTTATCAGTGTAACCTTAACATCGACACTAATCAGAAAAAGGTCAGGGTCAACACACTTTTCAAATCTAATTTTTCTGGTATACTATTTATGTAATATGAATATTTTATCACGTGTTTGAATTTAATTAGGATTAACTGCTCTATGTGATACACTATGTAACAGCATCGAGTTTTATTGAAATATAGTCGTGTCAAGTTCAATTAATATGAGCGTTAAAACGTTCGTGTGTTATGTCCCGTGATGGTTTTAATCCAGTGGCAATTATAGACGTTTTTATTGCGTCCAATGAGAAACCCGTCGAGTGATTTACTCGATGTGATATTTTCTTTTTTTGTAAACATTCAGAGATGTTGACCGTTATGTTATGCCAGATTTCCAGTTGCATGAGACGTTACTAACACTCGCTTTGGATTTAAATAGAAAACTGTGCCCAAACTCATAAAGCGTTGTTTTATTCGTATTCGACCACTTTAAAAGGATTTTATAGTGTCGTGTTAAATGCGTTTTATTTGATTACTCATCTTTAAATAGCCGTTAATATAATTTTAATATTTGAAATTAGAAAAAAGATAAATGAACATCTTTTGATGATGTAATTTAAAACTGCCACGTCGTGCGTGCGAGTGTGCATTTGTCGTGATGACTTTTGCTAGGAATATTTTACAAGGAAGCAAATAATGTGTGTGTAAATATGCGTACCGTCGTTTTTATACAAAGAATAAAAAAAACCGACGGCGTTGTCAGCGTAGAAGAAAAGAAAGCAGCGACGGGGTGTGATTGAGGCCACGACAGACTGATACGGAGCCCTTAGGCGTCTTGGCAAACCGCTCATGCCGCCGTCGACTTTTCTCCGCCTCGCCTAAAAAAAAAAAAAAGTATACGTATAAATATATAATTACGGTTGACGTATTCACAACTTAGTGTTGTATCGGGTGTGACATTTCGTGTGTATTTTGAATGGACGCATTAATAAAATGCCGCGTGTCCCCATAGAATTGTTAGCATTAATTTGCTATACTAGCAATTTAACTTGTGGATGTTAAGATTCTTCTGCCATCGTTTCCTGCGCGCTACACTTGCATGGTTTCAGTGTGTGTGTGTGAGATGAAGGCGTCGGCGTTTGGGCGTTTTTTAAAAATAGTCTCTTCGCGCTGTGTATTTGTATGCGACCGTTAAAATTATATATGTCCCGTGAAACTTTGGCAACTATTCCAGCTTTTATATATACTTACAAACACCGCGCACACGCTTATATTAAATTTATTTATAAACGAAAAAAAAAACGATTATTGTTTCGACGGATTATTTTTTATTCGAGACTTTGGTATTATTGTCTATGGAATTTGAACTTTAGTTGCATCAACGTAATCTCTATCGGTGATGACTTTGCCATGTAGTGTAGTCTTAGTGTGTGTGTGCGCTCGTTCACGGATTTTTTACCGATGAAACAATGACTCCGTAGAAATTTCGAAAAACCTACAATCGACTTTTTTTGAAAACAATCATATTTATCAATATTGTCTTTATTATGCTTATTTTTCGTGTGTTTGTCCACGGAAAGCGCAACTTTTTCAAGGATTAATTCCTTAACGAGTTTTAGTGGCGTGAACACCTTTCTCAGTCGTTTTCGAACAGGGCAGTGTTCACATATTTAAGTCGAGTAGCGACTTAGAGGGAGAGGCAAAAAAAGCACATCGGATGCGGTTGCGTAACTGGCGGTAACTGTGGAAACGAAAACGAGAGAAAGGAAACACAACACGGTGAAAATTATGTGCGGGACAAGGTCAAGACCGTAACTTGGATTTTCCTCGTAATGGAACACACTCGTGTTGCATTAAAGGGCAATCCGTTTAACCGATTGCGTACGTTGAGAACAGCCGTGTCGATGGTTTGTTTGTACAAAATCAATATTCAAGAATAATAACAAGTCCGTTATTATTCTTGAATGGAAAATGGAAACGAGGGTGATGAGCCCGAATAAATAAAAAATCTGGTTTCTCTCTCTGATAATCGAGTAGCGATGGCAGTTTGTAAACAAACAGCAAGCAAATGTGGTATAACAAATAAGTGTAGATTTTTTTTTTTTAATTCTATCTGACCCAGTAGATTGTTAATAAAATCTGATTTTATTA